GGAAACCTGTCAAGCTCTCATGAAATATCAGCTGTCAGAGGCAGGAACAGAGTCTGAGACAGAAAACAATCACTAAAAACTAGAAAAAAAAGGTCAGCTAAGTTTGATCTCCAATGAACTAGATGCAGCCAGTACTGGGCTTGTTTTGAAGACATTTTTAAATGAGTGGTTTAGAGACTTAATCTACACTAAATGCAGGTAAACTTAGTAACTTCACATGTTTTGATGTTTTGATTTCAAAAACTACCTCATTTTTTATACTTCATATTGGTAAGCCAGACAATATGTTTCTTATTTTTTTTAAAGAAGGTACTAAGCAGTATGTTTAAGATGTGTCTTTGTTAGTAAAAAATCTCATATTTATAACAATGCATATGCATTTAATGTGATGTTCCTCTTGGTCTAATCTTTGCACCCTCCTCCTAATCTGGCTAACATGATTTCTTGAAAACGTAAGAGAAATGTGTTTTGCCATCCCCTAAACATAACCGGTGTTTGAAGTGTTCATAACTGCTGGTTATGAGAGCTGGCTGATAACAGGACTAAACGGGGATTTCCTGTCATTGGAGTGACAGGGACAGTCAACACTAGCTCAGTAAGGCTGAGGTGAGATGGAGTTTGAATGTTAGGCATATCCTTTATCAAATATGAACAGGAGTTTAAAAATCTCATTATGAACATGGGCTGTTTGTTTCAATCAAAATAAGCAGGACTAATACAGTGAGTGTACTGACACTGAAGTCTCATCACTAAAGTAGATTATCACATAGATCATTAAAAACACCTCCCTCACAGGGTAACCTGGGTTAAATGTGATGTGTTCTTGCTTAACGTGGCTTGGTACACAGTTAATACTCAATAAATGTCAGCGATGATCAGATGCTTTCAAGAATTATTAGTTTCACCTGATAAAGTTATAAAGTTATTATATTCTCCTAGTCAGCACCTTATAAAAATGTCAGACTCATATAGGGACTCCCCTATTTTGTTCCTTTCCCCCTCAATTACCATAATAAATTACAATGAAAACTGGAGGCTCAGTAGGGAATGTGGCACCAGTAGGTGTCTGGGCTCATCTGTATGATTTATAATTTTTTGAAAAGTGCAGGATCTCTTAAAACTTCCAAGCGTGTTGTTACAGTGTTTTGTTTATTTTTCTTTAATAAGAAATGATTTCTGAAATGTATTGCAGGCGAACAAATAAGAGAAATGACAAATGTGGAAGTATTTTACAGTTATCTGAGCACAAGAATAAGGTCTGATGAATTTCGGGGAGCTTTTTCCTATACTTAGCTCCTCTTACATGTGCAGAACCATTTGTTCTAATCACACGCTTGTCTTCTGGCTGTGCTTATCATTCTCTATAAATTCACTAAACGGAGCATTCCTATTTCATCGTTCAGACTCAGTGAATCTTACTGCGGTGTCAGTAAAAGGAAAAGAAAACAAATGTTAAGCCCCAGGTATTTTTGTTTATATCACTAAGCATCATTTCCAATTCAAAAATATTTTTTAATGTATGCCTTTAGAATATGCGCTTTAAACTGTCCAATTACATAAGGCTTGTCATTTGGCTACTCAGATTTGGAGAGGAATGGAACAGGTTGCAGGGGATATACTAGTACAAAATTAAAATGTATCCTTTAAACCCAAAAGAAATACACAAATGCCTTTCTAGTTCACATAGCCTATTTGACTTTACAGCCTACTCATAAACACCGATTTAAACATTTGTATATAAAATTAAATAACGTGGAAAAATAAATTATACTTTATTATATAAACACATTGAAATCTGTACTGCTCAAAATATTCAGATAATACCACACTTGGCTGCTTAAAGCTGTATTCAGAAAATATGGTACAGATGTTTACAATCTTTATCATTTTGCTAGAGAGAGATTCAGTGAGGTGATAAAATAGCTGATGTCAAGCATTTCCTCCTTCTACCTACAGGAGCTGCAAACTTTAATATGAAAATGAGGTAGACAAAATTCATAAGTTGGCCACGCAGAAACAAAAGCACAGTTCCTTCATAAATTCTCATTGTTCGGGTTGACAAACATTATTCCACATCACCTAACGCAAGGCTCAGAGACTGCTGTTAGGTTTGTCATGGAAAACACAAATGAGCAATTTCTCCTAGGCAAGAACAGTAGGCAAGATGGCCAGCCAGCAGATACACGGAGCATGGCAAAAGAGGGGTGCAATGGGACCAGCTTGCAGGGGTGACATCACTCACCTAGCCACTGTTTTCACTTTAATTATTTGATGAGTCAGCTTACTCTAGAAGGCTGCAGGTTTTTAACCTACTTTGGGCTGCGTTTGACAGTACAGAGCCCTCTTTCCAATGCACCCCTCTAGTCAGGGGGCGTGTGCACTCACTACAGTCCACAGCTGGGGTGGCTGCAGGAGCCACCCAAAGGCCTATCAGTGGAAGAACCTGATTTCAGTAACAAAACAGTACCGACGAAGAGTGCAAGGACACATGAAAAGGCGGACAGAGAAGGCTGAATTTTTGGAGGATGTTTCTTACAATCATGACTTAATCCACAGTGACTTCAGGCAGAACTAAGGGTCTAGAACAGGTTTGAACCCTGTGTTTACAGGAGCTTCCTTTTAGAGACTGAAGCCATGCTAACAGTGATTTGGAGTTTCTTTCCTAAATATTGCTCCTTAGTTAAATTGTTGAACAGGCTGTCTCCATGTTGGCCTGGGAAAGGCCTACTTGCTCAGGGGCCATTGCCTCTGGACACTACCTCCAGCATGGGAGTGCGTGGGGACAGACGAGAAAGCAAGTGGCTGAAGGGCTGTTACCCTTGGTCTCTCATAAACCTACAGTGCTTTCCTTTGAAAGCAACTTGTTAGCACCTCAAATGCACTTTTTGTTGTTGTTAATTTCACTGTCAGTTACAAGGGTGGAGCACCATCAGAGTGGCTTTATGGCTAATAACACAATTCACTGAGGTATGCTTAAATTTAGAATTACTATGAAATTGTACCAAAGCATCCATAAAAACCAATAAAAGTAAAACAAAAATCCTACCCTAAGAATCTAAAAGACTTACATATGTTTAAGTAACATATTACAAATGTATATATTCAAATAAAATGCTTTTGATTTAAATTTTTAAAAATCACAGTTAAAAGCCTTGCAGGAGTGGCCTTGCTCCTAGACTGCAGAGGTATTTAAATATATATTTGAATAATGATCACTTTACAAAGGAAGCACTAAAATCAGAAGCAGCAAAATGTGTGTAACAGAGGATTAAAATCTCTCTGTTTTTCTCTCTATGTGTTTCAGAAAACTCTTTGGAGGCCCAAGAAGAACAACTATAGTAAAAATAATGTAAAGTATTCAGTTAAATTAAATAGCAGATCACAATTTTAAAATTTAAGCACTTAAGCTCTTAAAATATCTGTGGGGGAGGGTGGTGATCCTGTGTAAAAAAGTTTCAGCTGAATTTAGAAAGGATGCTAAGAAGAGAACGCTATGGGAAATCAATATATGCCATATAGTATATCACAGGGTAAACCTACGTTTGCCTGACCCTGTGTATATACTATACAATATATATTACATTATTGTATTGTATTACAGTGGGTATACACACAGACACACACCCTCTGACGTTTAGATGTTTTTTGGTCAAATGAAAGAAACACACCTTGTTAGAGGGCTAGCAGATTTTTTGAAACATAACGTGACTGCGGTGCCGTGGGCTGAGCGAACAGGGTGTAAATATACGGGCCCAAGAGGGAGAATTTCATGAGGAATAATATGTGATGGTGACTTGGGGAAGCTAAGAATGCCAGAGGATGTGCCTGGCATTCTAAGCACATTCCTATGTGCCAGTACCGCGGGCGAGATGCTCCAGGTGAAATGTACGTCTGATTCTGGCAATTCTAAGCTCTTCAGCAAAATCCTCACAGCCCAGGGAATAGTGCCTGTTGAGATGGGATGCTGAACGCCTCTAGAGTCCTACTTACTACAAGGTGCAGTGGTTATATCACTGTGTTCAACCTGGGACACGGCAACCTTGACTTAGAAGCGTCAACAGGTAGGAGCTGTGTCATGTCAGTTAATCTGCTCTTTAGCTGGTCCCAGGAATAGTTACTACTCCTAGAACCACATGAAAAAAATTCTGGGTATGACCTAATATATTATAATTTCAGCTTCAGTGCAGTTAATGTGTTTACAGGAATGTTTAGTACATTTACTTGAAACGGCCCTAATGGCTCCACAAGTCACGGTACAACTTCGCCAGAGGATTGTTTTGACAGAGCTGATCCTTCTGTTTGCCAGGCGCTGCCCCGGACTTCTGCACAGTGCGGAGCGGCACGGCAGTCTCACCGTGCCCGCCAAGCGCCCAGCAAAGGAAGCCTAGGCCCACAGCAAAAAATGGTCTCGGATGGGCTTCGTGTCTTCGTGGAAGAAAGAGAACATTTCAGACACGGTGAGAAGCACCAGTCACGGAGTCCAGGTTGCTCTTTTGCATTTTCCAAATGACTTCAATCTATTTTATGGGCACAACCTTTGAGGTGACTGTGGTGGGACGTGTACCTGAGTCACTGCAGAAAACATTGCTTTGGCCTCACTAAGCAGGCATTTCCCCCAAAGTCAAAACCACCACAGCTAAGGAAAGGAAGGTGCGCCTGCTAGTGAGCTGTCTGTGTAAATCACTTTGGAGCTGACCAATTACCTTAAGTTACTTAGTTTCTTTTAAAAAATCCAAACGTACCTCATCGAGTTCTTCTAGGGAAGGAAGCTACTCCCTGGCAGGAGGCACATGCACTCTGCAGAGTACCTTTGGCCACCTCACACAAAGCCATTCTGTTGTGTATCGATATGAAGAAAACAACAGCCTGCTTATCGCCAGGGAATGAATGCCCTTGTGAGCATGACAACCGCCTGTCGCAGAGGAGGGCCTCAGAACGCTGCGGAGCTGGGTGTATAGCTAGACAGCCTGGCTAACGAACATTAATAGTTAGGGCCGTACCGAACTCCAAGGGCCGGTGCTCCATGCTGCGTCTTGGGGACAAGCGTGCGGGTTACACCGCTCCCGGTCCGGAGGCTTGTCCAGAATTTCACAGCTCAGATCTGGAAAGCGCTCCCCGCTGGGCCGCTGACAGACCACCAGCCTGGTTCGCAGGCCTCCGCCACAGAGCTTGGAACACTGCACAGAGGCAAAGGGAGGCGACAGTTAGCTGTCTGAACAGCCAATGCAAACTTTCTTTTCCCATAAGAAATTTTTCTCAGCCAAACTCTACCCTGGCACAGGGCAAGCAAGCCTCTGGACAAAAGCACTCTGACTTATCCACAGCCCACCTCCAACAGACTGGCGCTCTCTGGCTCAGGGGAGGGACTGCTTACCCAGGGCTTCCTCTCCCCCTGCTCGGAAGCTCTCAGAGACATGATCTCACCCAGAGGAGCGAATAATCATTTGCCCTATTTCATATGTGGGGCAACTAAGCTTACGAGAAGTTAATTAATCTGATAAGGTACATTTCATAGCCAGAGTTTAGACTAAGATTACAGTATAAAACCAAACATCAAATATGCAAAACACCACAGAGTTCCACCTAAAGGAAATAGTAATGACTTGGCGAGTTTTACTTCCTGGCAACCGCTCAGAAGCTGCGCCAACCTCTGGCTGTTCTGGGATGCCAATCTTTACGAGAAGCTATTTTACATTATCTCCCAATCTTAGCACCACTCTGACCCTCCCCGCGGATGAACGCCCAGCGTGGCGGGTTGCTGGATCCGGTTCTGACTCCTGGCTGGATGTGAACTTCCGAGGCAGGGACGAGATGTGTTTCTTGGACGTAACCCCTGTGCTCACTTCCAGGAACACCGACGGGCGGCCTCCCTGCTGTGCCAGGGCCAGATCTCCCGCAGAATCCGGATGATCTGGTCTGTGCTGACAGCAAGAATCCCGCCAATGCCTGCCCTCTCCTGGCCCCAGTCCAATGACAGAAGCTTAATCATGGGCCCCACAGGACACAGCTTTTGAGGAGTTTTGGGAAAACCATGATACACGACTCTCAAAGCCTGACTCCCCCTTCCTGCCTTTCAGCCAAGGCCTCCAGAATGACGCACTGTCAACGAAAGTCAACAGAAACCTCCATGTGACTGCCCAGGACTACTGGGCTGCATGCGTGAAACCGTGACATGTGGACACGATTCCCATTAGCCAGGGGCACTAGTGGGCCCAACCAGTTCATTTGCTTCCTCCCCCACCCCCTTTGGCACTGGGGTCTCCAAGATGTTAATCCTCATGTTTTATTTTATAAACTAGAGGCCCAATGCATGAAATTCGTGCAAGAGTAGGCCTTCCTTCCCCCGGCTGCCAGCACCGGCTTCCCTCCGGCACCCAGGACCTGGGCTTCCCTCGCAGCCTTGGCTTCATCCAAAAAGTTGTCCTAATTAGCATGTTACACTTTCATTATTATAAATTGTACAGTCAAGACAGAAACACTCAAGAAGATTTAAATATGTGATTTCCCTGTAAATTCAAAAGTAGAGAGATATTTTCTTGGTTAAACACAAAACAATAAGTATATAAGCCCTACATGCAATAGTGGTTGAAAGCCCATTTAATAATGATAGTAATGCTAATCATAACAATAATTATTACTACTACTAATAACTTGTACCATAGCAGTTGACTTTGAGTGAAGGCTATGTGCTAGGCATTTGACATGCACTCTCTCAAATAACAGTCATGATTATTATGAAGTTGATGCCATTATCATTCCCATGTATAGAAGAGGATACAGATGTTTGGCAATGTTACAAGGCTGGGACTGGCACCCAGTTTTCTCTGGTCCAAAAACTCTATCGTCTTTCATCAGTTATAGCAGGCAACTCTTTAGAAAGGTCTAAAAGATAACAGCTGAAGAATTTCATTATTTGAGAATACAGCTAATTATTCACTGCCATGTTTAAAATGAGTCACCTTTGATAGGAAGAACAGAACCTATTAATTCTGGTTTTATCTGGGGTTTGAAATAATGACAGATTACACCATGAGAATAAGAGTGTATCAAAAGACCCCAAAACTATGAAGAAGATGGCAACATTTCCATTGACGAATTTTACATATATTTTCAATCACTTTAAAAGATTCCTCCATTTTTTAACAAGCAGAGGTTAACAATTTAAATTAGCATTTATCTGCATTCTTTCCTCATTTTTCTAACCTCCTTAATCAAGCTGTCTATAATTGATCAAAAACGCACTTTTAAAGTAGTCTAGCATTAAGACAGGTCTTCTAGTTAATTCCAAAATAAAGAAGCTTTAACTGGAGCTAGTTCTTCTTCCTTCAAATAAACTATGAACAATAACACAACTTGGTCAGCAAAATTACTGTTTTTCCCAAAGCACGTACAAAGGGCCTTTACTCTCACCTCTCCCCAGCTGCCATAAGCCCACCGCGGACATGGGCCGGACTCACAGGCTCTTTGCTCATCGGGTTTGATTCTTTCCACACAGTCATTTGCGGGGTATCCATTCTCATCCTGACATACAACGACACGCCGCTGGGACCCGCCAGCACAGGTACTAGAACACTGAACACATCAGACATCAGTCAATAGGTCAATTCTCATCTCAATTTCCATTTTAGGATCATAAAAAACAGCTGAGGGGAAGGTCAGAGGCAAGTGGGGCAGAAATTGTTCACAATGGACAGAAAGCAATTGTGAGAACTTCCCTTCTGTGAGGTTGTTTCATGTGCAAGTCTTAAAATAAATACCCCGGGGGCAGAAACGTGCTTCTCCTTTGCACGCGTTAGGCCTTGAGCAGGTGTCCGATCAATGTCCAATGGACATTTATAAACCTTTATTTATACATGTCAGTGTTCAATACGTGTCTATGAGTGATAATGTGCGGTGGTTTCCAAAGCTCCCTTATTTATGGTCCTCCTTTATCTTCTCCTGGCCTCTGACAGGTACACAGGTGTGGACTGACCCCCCAGTCTACTGAGAAAGCCTTTTCTTTCCAAAAGTCCAAGTGCTCATTTAGAACCAACTTGGGGCTTCCCTTACAGCCCGGGAGTCAAATGACATGCTTAACGCTTAACGAGTAGCCAGTTGTGGAAACGAAGCTTTCATGTTAACTCATTCACTTACATGGAGCACCACTTAGACATCAGTTTCTCACAAGTCATGTTCCCATCTCTCCCTTCATAATAGGGTCTGCTTTCGTGGCGGAGGGTAGCAAAGTTTGTTTCCTTCCTTATTTCTATTTCCCAATGAACTCCCTTGAATTCCATAGGGACCAACCTCTCTCCGGATGGAGGCTCAGTCTAGCACTCCCTCTCATGGCTGTTCCTAGAATTATGTTTGCATTGCAGCTAGGTTCCCACGCGGGCTTCTCATAGCTCTCTTATTTATCTACATCTTCAGTGTGTTTTTCTTCCCATAACTTCGTTATCTTTTGAAACCCAATGTGTTTGCTAGTATCCTTCACTCTGACCCCTCACAGTTTGCCTATGTGATAACCATCTAGTCCTCAGAGCAAAGCCATTCCCACCACTTATCATCTCCAATGCATTGGCGACAATGTTTTGAGTTCCGGGTTCTGGTGGCTGACTTGTGCTTTCTATCAAACCTCAGCCCACACCTGCGTTATTTCAAAATACCTGCCAATACTGCTTCTTGCTGGTCAGCTTTTTCTTATAACCATCTGAAGGTGCTTTGCTTATTACATTGGACCTCAGTTCAATTTCCTTACCGATGCTTGTTAAAATATGAGTGGCTTAAAAATATATTGGGTTTAAGTTTAAAACATGTATAAAGGAAGAAAATAGATTTATGAATTCTGTCTGAGAAAATATTTAGGGAATTTTCGATTACCTAAATTTTTGAATGTTTTAAAATATTCTACCTCTATTTTCAGATGGTCTGGTACACTTACTCAAAACTTGAAAATATTTGTTTTCTACTTTTTAAACAGCTTAATCCATAATAAAAAACACAGAGAACTATTATTTTAATTAGCTTTGTTTGGGGACGAGAATTTAAAATGTTTGGGAGGCTCTTCCACATATAAATAGTTTTGGAATATATCTTCTGGCCTTTGAATTTTTCCCTTCATAACAAAATCTTGTATCATTCCTTTATTAAGCCTCCTGTGAGTGTTATGGCCCAACAAAATGGTAAACTCCTCAAGGGAGGGCTCAATGGCATCACGGACTTCCCTGTCACTCCCAGAACACTGGTCTCAGGTTTTATTGCTGGTTCCATTCACGTTTCTGGAATCGGTACCTCTATAAGCCACAGGCTACCCCCTTCAATACAGCCCAGGGGAGCAAGGACGGTCCCTCATTTACAGCTCCATTGGCCAATCAGATGCTTCCTCCTGAGGCTCTGACTGAAAGGTGGAGAGAGTGCTCCTCAGGGGGCCAAGCAATTGAACGGCCCAGCCCTGGAATTGCACCGCACATTTCCAAACCCAGGCGGGCTTGGGTCTCTCTCCTCCCGCACACATGTGGAGTGTTGCCTGGGAACAGTGCCTAGGTTGCAGAATTTCTTGTGGCCCCTCTTTTGTTAACAAGTTTCCTATTCTCTTTAGATGACATATTTTTCTTGGTAGACGTTGAACAAAGCCCTGCTCCTATTATCCCCGCTGCACAAAACAAGGAAAAATGGCCTTTAGAAAACCAAGAGGCAGGGACATCTTACCTGTGCCATATATTTCCCCTACATCTGGCAGCACAATTCTCTTGTAAGCCCTGTCTATTAAGATACTCTGCCCATCCCTGGCCAAGCTGTAAGTGGAACAAGCTGGATCAATCAGACTCATTTGGGAATTTGAATACTGAGTAGAGTAACTCAAGGGTGGTTCAGAGGTGAAAGGGATTCATTAAGACAGAAAGTCCTTAAAGAAGTTATTCTTTAGTTACTGGTCCATCTAGATCAGGATTTGGCAAACCCCAGCCGGAGGGCCAAATCGAGGGCCAAATCTGGCCTGCCACCTGTTTTTATAAATAAAGTTTTATTGAAACACAGCCATGCCTGTCCATGTATTGTCTGTGCCTGCTTTTGTGCTGCTACAGCAGCAGAGCTGGTTAGTTGTGTCAGAGACTGTATGGTCCACAGAGATAAAAATGTCACTGTCTGGCCCTTTGCAGAAGAGAACTGCCAAACCCTGAGCTAGATCCCCGAAGGTGCTCAGGTCCCTGCTTGTGCGGGGGCTAAGTGAATGCTTTTACTTGAGTCAGTTTTCGTTTCTTTTGCTTGCAACCAGAGACCCCGAATTGAGAACACACAGAAAACCTCACACAGGGTTTGCGAAATCTAGTGTAATACGAGGTCCTTACTCTAGAATCCAGCATAAACTTGACATTCGCATTCTCTCGTGTTCATGATTCTTTGCTGCCTTTTCTGCCACGGAGGCAGGAAGACCCCGGCACACTCCTGAGAGCAGGTCAGGCAGCACAGGCCGGCCTGAGAATCATGGTCCTTAACTTAGAAAAAATCCCCAAACAAAAAACAGGCACACTGGGGGGAAGAATGGTGCTGCCTACTGCTGCAAAAGGTTACCTAATCCTCCCTAATTGGGAACTCTGCCCAGGGCAGAAGCATTCAGTCTGAAAGGAATGCACTTTCCCAAATGCAGTCCCAAATAAGAACAGCTTTCAAATGTTTTTTAAAAACTTCCTAGTGCTATCCTTAGAACACACATGCATGCGTTCCGTACTCTTCAATCAGAAAACTGTGGGACACCCTGTGGGCACCTCCCTTAGTCACCCTTTGATTCCCTTCTGAGCCAGGCGAAGGGAGACAAGCAGGAAGCAAGCCGGGAGCAGGAGATGGCAAAGGTTCAGCCACTTGGCCGAGGGACAACCCACACTCGCAAATGTGCCGCGGCTGGTCAGAAATCCCGGAGCGTCGGTGCGACTCCCTGAACAGCCACGTGAGAAACAGACAGCCGCCTTCTAATCCTTTTGAGTCCACACATAATTATACACAATTAGCAGGACTAGAAGGAAACGTAGCGAATCATCAAAAAGAAGACCCCGAGTGACGGGTAAGCCCTGACTCTGCAGGCAGTGCTTCCTGGCTCCCTGCGGCTTCATGAGACATGGCCAGTCACCACAATGTCATCTTTTTTTTTTTTTTTTTTTTGAAAATTATTTAGTAAAAAATAAAACATTCCAAAGCATATCTTTTCTTCGAATACTGGATATTTTTCAAGGTCTCCTCGATTTGAAGGACAATGGTAATAATAAAGATGATGGCTGACATCTATTACGGTCTCCCTCCGTGGCATGCAGCGTGCCAAGCACTTTATTGGCATGGTTGCATTTGATTCTTACAGCCCAGCAAAGCCAGAACGATGGTTCACTTTGTTTTACAGAGGAGGGAACTGAGGCTCGAAGAGGATGCTACTTCCCCTTTCAGCTCAGATTTCACCCGGCCTCCTGTGTCACCCACCCCTCACCCAGGACAATGATCTACTGCCACACGCTCTGACACCTCACGGGTCTGGGAAATAGCGAAAAGGAAAATGAGGCTTGCGAAGCGCTCCCTTTCAGAAAAGCGCCTCTGCCCCTTTAACGCCCCCAGGCTCCTGCATCAGTGGCCTTCCCAGGGCCTTCTGGAGGCCACTGCACCCAGCAGGGACACTCCCTTCTCCCCCCAGTCAAGGGAGCTTGTGACGCCTTCTCAGGGACTGCAATGAACCCACTGCGGTTCACCCCCAAAACAAGCGAAAATGCATGTTGTGAGAAAAAATGCTCCAAAGGTGTTTCTAGTCCATGCCCCACTGCACCCCCAACACCGCCTCCGGTGGGAGAAGAAGGCAAATTAGGAAAAGACTCGTCACACTCACTGCTCCCCAGGGGCCGGTCCTCCACTGGTTCCCCCCCAGCACGTGGGTCTGGCTGGGGCCGAGGCTCCTGGGGTGGTAGCCCGCGTTCTGGAAAGGGTGCTGAGCAAGGCCCCTGTCTGGGGCCTGGCGCGGGCACGGTGGCAGCGAGCAGTCCTGCGCGGTTTCTGGGATATAATCTGTGTCACACTGGCTCTGATCAATCACGTGGTCACTGTAGTCCACACACATCACTTGCCGGGTCGTCCTACCGTGCCCACATGTCACAGAACACTAGAGGGAACGGTCAGGAAGAGAAGGGGTCAGTCACTCGGCAGTCAGGAATTCATGAATGTGCATGTTTTGTAAATTGTCCCCTCCTCACCCAGTTGACCAGGTCAAAACCTTGTCTCCTCCCTTTTCTTCCCATCCCATCCCATTTCATTAAGAAATGATTTAGCTCAGAGGTCAAAACATAACCCCAGCCCAGCCACTTCTCACCACCTCCTCCATCACCTCTCTCGTCCAAGCCATCATCTTCCCTTGCCGGGACTACTGCAGTAGCTTTCCCTGTGGGCTCCTGCTTATAACCTTGACCCTGACCCCAGGTCTGCTATCTCTATATCACAACAGTGACCCTTGCAAACAAAAGCCATGCCATGTCATTCCCTCCAGTGACTCCAATTCCTCATCCTGGCAGCTGACATGCCTCATCCGGGTCCCTTTCCCACAAGTGGCTGAGTACTGGGCGTTGGAGCAAAGGAGTGTAGAAATGTTATTAGAATCAGCCGCTAGCTGGACAGCAATGCACTTTCTACGGTCATGTCAGAGCATGTCTTCTTCCCCGTTGGACATTAGTCAAGGTCCAAAGTCCTTACTTGAATTATGGACCCTTCGTGATATGGCCACCAGCTATCGCTTTGACACACCTCCTATCACTCTCCACTCCCTGCGTTCCAGCCAAATGGCCTTTTGGATGCTTCGCTAACCCGCCAAGGACACGCACATCTCAGGCCGGTGCACCTGCTGTTCCACATGGGTACCCACGTGGCTCACTCCCTCATTCCCTCAGTCCTGCTCAATCAACGTCAGTCCTTTCCCGACCACCTTGTCTGAGAGCATGTCCCAGCTTTCTCTAGGCCAGGGGTGGGCAAACTTTTTGACTGGAGGGCCACAATGGGTTCTTAAAACTGGACCGGAGGGCCGGAACAAAAGCATGGATGGAGTGTTTGTGTGAACTAATATAAATTCAAAGTAAACATCATTACATAAAAGGGTACGGTCTTTTTTTTCAATAGTTTTATTCATTTCAAACAGGCCGGATCTGGCCCACGGGCCGTAGTTTGGCCCACGGCTGCTCTAGGCCATTCCTGGGCTAAAGTATCCCTGCACTTACCAGCATCACTCCCTGTTCTATATCACATACCTATTTCTCATTTTCTCAGTGATTGAAATAATCTCCATGAAGGCAAGGAGTTTATTATTGGTTGTTCACTGCTCTTTGTCCAGTGAGCTTTAACAAATACCTGCTGAGTAAACAGTTGCACCTGACGTATGTATGTATGTATGTTTGGAGACTCAAAGCATGAGGATGAGATTACCTATCATTTATTGAGCATCTACTTTGTGCTACATATTTGAACATATATAATCTCAAATAATTCCCACCACAACCTTGGAGGTAGGTACTTTTTGGTCTTCTCTGGAGAGCAGAAACTAAGGCTCCAGGTCTTCAACCAGACAGCTCAAGGCCGCGCAGCCAGTAAACGACAAGGCCTGGGTGTGCACACAGCTCTGTCTGAATCTGCCTCTCAAATTTTACATACGTTATGATGTCTTTGACATATTAGCCTCTGTTTTCCTCCTGATGTCTCCTCGCCTATCCTCAGTTTGTATTTCCTGGACTCTGGTTTTGACAAGGCAGAAAGCAGAAGCTGCCTGAAGACAAATATTTTTTTACTTTTGGAAAATCCCGTAGATGCTGCCTGGTGTGCACAGAGGCCAGGTCGCAGCCCCGGAGGAGGGTTCTCACTGTCTACTCTTGGCAGGGAAGCCCAGAGCCACTGGACTCCAAGGGACCGCAGGATGCAGGAGGCACCCAGACTTCGCCACTGTGGGTCCCATACACACCTAGGACATTCTGATGTGACCGGTTTCCATTCAGCCCCAGCGGAGAGGGGCTTGTGTCCATTGTAAATTGATTTACATGTTTTTTTAAATGTGCATTTCTTATACACCTGGCTGAGATTTATACCAGCTGCACATATATGAAGCACAACAAGTGAAATCACAATCTAAGTCCGATTCTAAAATATTACCCATGGCCATCTGAGGCCTCCTATTAGTCCTCCCCCTTACTGCTCCCCAATCCGCCCCCAGCCCCCAAATTCTCTCCCTTACAGGGCTCCAGTCCAAAGCCTTCCACTGGCCACAGGGGGTCCCCACACATTCCTCCTCTGCCAGTGGTCGCGGCAGGGCCGTGCAGGCGCTCTCATCAGCCACGGAGCCGTCCTCTTCCCGGCAGCTGACATACCTCATCCGGGTCCCTTTCCCACAGGTGGCTGAGCACTGGGTGTTGGAGCAAAATCATGCAGAGATGTTACTGGAGGCGGTCGCTACCTGGACAGTGATCCACTTTCCATGGTCATGTCAGAGAGCACCCCCCCCGCCCCCCCCCCCCCCCCCCCCCGACAGCTCCTCCCATCTGATCTCTTACTGGAGTCCAAGACCCAAATCTCCACTGGGTTCTTGGGGCGCCGTGCGTGTTCCTCCTTGCTTCGGGGACAGCCGGCGGAGGGTGACAAGGTGGCAATTCGCAGTCCTAGATGTGAGAAGGGGGGACACCAGTTACCTTTACGTCAGTGCACTCTTTCATGGTCATGGCAAAGAAAAATAGAAAAACTGAAAATTCTAACACTTCAGATTTGTGTGTGATTTTGAGAGATATCAAGTAACATGCTATCTGTCAGCTCCAATTTCTCTTTTAAAAAAATCTTTTAAAAAAATCATTGATTTATGGAAAGAGTGAAAATGGGGGGGGTGGGGAGAGAAACACCAATGTAACAGGGAAACATCGATTGGCTGCCTCCCATATGCATCCTGACTGGGGATTGAACCCGTGACCTTTCAGTGAACTGGATGGCACTCCAATCAACTGAGCCGCACTGGCCAAGGCCAGCCCCAATTTCGTTAACTGTAAATGGAATATAATTTGAGTCAATTTGTGGGCGCCTTTTAGGGGTCTACTTAATGATTTTTAATACCATATTTACTAACCTGTTCAAGTGGAAAGAGGAAAAAATATTGTAAAATGGCAGATAAGTTGGGAAAGAGCAGAATATCCTTTTAAAGTAATCAATTGTTAATTTTTCAAAATTCTGAAGGCCAAACTTTGTTCCCAAACTTCAATTAGTTTCCTCATCAGAATTCGCTGATCATGAACTTGCTTTCTGAGTTTACTTAAAGATAACTCCTGAGGTCCTGAAGGTCAAATCTAGGTCCTGAAGGTCATATTCCGATGACTAGGTTTATATGACACCCCTCAGTCACTGCAGAGAAACATCCCTCTAATGAATGAGGCCATCGGTGTGTAGATAACATTCCCAGACTTACAAATAGGAAAAGAGAAGTATACCCCTCCTCACATTCACTCCCAGCCTCAGCGGTTAGCAAATATTCTTTGGTTCAATACTCGTCAGTAAAACGCCTGCGATGTTATACACAGTGTGAAGTGCTGGGAGAAGGAGGCATACTTGACTTCAGGGAGCTTAGGATCTGAATGGGACATTCTGACCTCACCTATTCCTCTGTCCATGGTCCAGAGAAAGCCACAGCGATATTTTCATACTGAGAAGAAATGAATCACGTGCTGCAACTGTGGGGCTGCCCTCTAGTCCCATGGATATTATGGAGCAGTTGAGAGAGAAATGTATGTTTTGAATCTCTAAGGGAGCTGCTAAGTCCTTACTGCCTGGCTGCTCAGATGTAATAGCTAGCAGTACAGGCCTATATGATATGGTGATTTGAAATATTTCAGTAAAGTAATAAAAATAAAGATGACACAACTCATGTTGTTTTTGGTTAATTGATCAGCAGTGACAGCATGGACGGCACTGCCATATTCCTTTATTTTTCTGACACGCCTCATCCACAGACAACCATGGCGACATGCATAGACTAAGGGTGTCAGCACAGGGCCCGTGCCCTGCCGGATGGAGCCTGGGAGCACAAGTTCTGGGCATAGTCTGTGTTCAGATCTGGTCTTTGGCAATTAGCAAAGCTGATGTGCAAACCCAAGTCTCCTCTTCACAAAAAAGGATGCCCAAATCAAGGCCCACACAGAGTGGTGTGCTGGGGAGTGATCGCCAATGAGCTCTCAAGGAAAACATGTGCATGTTTTTGTGTAGAGAGATACATGTTTACACATGCACATATATGCCTCTTATAAATTTTACTGATATAAAGGATACACAGCATACAATTTACAAATAACAATAAAGTATAGAATTCTTCATTTAGAATTCCATACAGTCAATTGATTCTCACAGAATAGCTTTGATGATTTTTGCTAAACTCTGCAATCTGTTCCCAAACTATGGTTGTAATTGCCAGACAAGTGTGGTTCTGACATAAATGTTAGCTGATGTTTTGTTTACTTTTAAGCATAAGGTGAAAGTGAAGCAATAAAGATGTACGTACAAACGTGGCTCATTCACCAATGCCATGAGCGATTTCTTTGTGAAACCAGATAGTGATTTTCAAATACAGGAAAAATATTTCTTTAATTTTTGTGCTATTCGTAATGTAACAGCTACGGACACTAGACTCTTTTAAGTTTTATTTGCATGATTGCTATTTTCTCCATCACCTTCTTACATCTAAATAATCAACCAAACAGTGAATAAAACCCTGGAATATGTAATATTTGCTGACTTCTGTGCTGTAAATACTCTCACCATGGCTAGTCCAAGCCACCAACTTGATGTCAAGTTGGGCAGAGATAGGCAGTAGCCACTGTTATACAAAATCTCCAGCACACCGACACGCGCACAGGTAAGAACCTCAAGAGCACAGTCGATGGTGAGATGCAGGAACAAGCCAGCACCGGGACCTGCTGCCTGAACAGACGACACTATTTGCTGAACCTTACGTTGAAATCATTAAAACAACGAAGAAAAACACACCCAAAAACCAACATCTGCCATCCAATAAGAATCAGAATCAAACCTACGTACATCTCAAATGACCAGAGAAGGACAAAACTGCTACATCAAAATACCAGATTAAAAATGTAACAAACAAGTAAATCCAGAACAACTTAATCAACGGTTTTCTCTACCTACATATTTGCCTATGAAAAGAGCCCCTAGGAAATTTTGGCATCTCAGTGCCCAAAGCCAATAAGGGAGTTGAACGGAGGAGACTCACCTGGACCTCAGCTGGTCTAGCTGCTGCGCTGCAGACATTGACATCCACCACTGACACGCCATAGGTCCCAACGATGCACTGCACCACTCTGTGCTGGTATCCCCGTCCACAAGTGACACTGCACTGGGGGAAAGGAACAAAACGCAAGTATATACGATTCAGCAACATTTCTCTTTCCCTTACTTTCCACATAACATTCTACACGAGAAAAAATAGTTCCATCACTGTGGCCAGAGGGTAGGCACCCAAAGAAATTAGGTAAAGTAGGCAATCCTGCTTTGTACAAATTATCACTACAACGCTTGAAATTATTTCTATCTCCATTGAAATGATATCTGTAGGAGTTCAGTTCCTTAACTGTGAATCCATGGAAGGAGGAGAATACACTCCAATAATTTTTACACCTTTCACACTATAGTTACCAGAACCATGACAAATAGTATGGTAGGTCCTCAAAGAATTTAATATAGAATTTCCATACAACCCAGAAATTCCTCTTTTAGGTATATATCCAAAAGAATTGAAAACAGAGTCTCAAAGAGAGATTAATATACTCACATGTTGATAGCAGCATTAGTCACAATAGCCAAAAAATGAAAGCAACCCAAGTGTCCTTCAACAGACGAATGCATAAGCAAAGTATGCTACATACACACAATGGATTATTATTCGGCCTTAAAACTTTTAGGAAGAAAATGATATTATGCCTATGAAATAATCCAGTCCCAATAGGACAGATAATGATTCTACTTCCAGAGGCATCCAGAATAGTCAAATGCATAGATGTAGGGTGTGGCTATAGGGTTAAGCCTTGGATTGACCTCTTGGCAAAGCCACAAACAAGTCCCAGCTTAGAGGGCAGCGCCCTCTTAGCATAATTAGGCTTGACCTTATGACGCTCCCTAAATCTTATCTGGGTAGCTAATGGGCTGAGGGAGATGCAGCAAGTGCTGCCAAAATAAGTGAAACTCACAGGAACATTGTAACTATGGTGACCACTACCTTGTCTACCTCTGGCTATAAAATAAAGGCTCAGCTTGCCTCTGGATCTCTCTCTGAGGCCTCAGCCAGGCACAGGAAGATCCACGTAGACCAGTGATGGCGAACCTTTTGAGCTCGGCGTGTCAGCATTTTGAAAAACCCTAACTTAACTCTGGTGCCGTGTCACATATAGAAATTTTTTCATATTTGCAACCATAGTAAAACAAAGACTTATATTTTTGATATTTCTCTTATATATTTAAATGCCATTTAACAAAGAAAAATCAACCAAAAAAATGAGTTCGCGTGTCACCTCTGACACACGCGTCATAGGTTCGCCATCACTGACCTAGACCCAGCTTACTCTCTTGGTCTGTCTTTTCTTCATCCTTCACCACCCTCCCTCAGGCTTGCGAACCCTTGGCTGAGCTGGCTCGGACACATAGAGAATGCAGACTAGTGGTTGCCAGGGGCTGGGTGGAGGGCAAATGGGCAGTTATTTAATGGGTAGAGGTTTTTTTAAATTTAATTCTCACCTGAGGATTTTATTTTTATTGATTTAAGAGAGGGAGAGAGAGAGAGAGAAAGAGAAACATTGATGTGAGAAAGAAATATTGATTGGTTGCCACCTATATGTATGCGCCCCAACTGGGGATTGAGCCCTACAACCTTTTGGTGTATAAGCTGATGCTCCAACCAACTGAGCCACCTGGCCAGGGCAATGGGTAGGGTTTTCATTTTGCAAGATGAAAAGTTCTGGATATTGGTTGCACAGTGATGTAAATATACTCAAGACTATTGAACTATACACTTAAAAATGGTAAGGATGGTAAATTTTATGTTATCGGTATTTTACCACAATTACAAAATTTTAATAATAGGATAAGGACTTGAATAGACATTTTTCCAAAGAAGATATACAAATGGCCAACAAGCTCATGAAAAGATGGCCAACAAGTCCTTAGGGAAATACAAGTCAAAACCTTAGGTGTCATAATTAAAAAGTGGGAAAATAAGAAGTGTTGGCAAGGATGTAGATAAACTGGAACCTTTGTGTATTATTGGTAGAAATGTAAAAGGATGCAGGTTCTGTGGTAAACTGGTGGTTAAAACGTTAAACCCAGAATGACCACATAACTCATCAACACCACTCTTAGGTATATACCCCAAAGAATTGAAATCAGGTACTAAAAAGAACACTCATTCATAGCAGCACAATTCACAATATCCAAGAGGCGTGAGTAACCCAAATATCCAATGAGGGATGACTAGATAAACAAGTGTGATATACCCATACAATGGAATATTACACAGCCATAAAAGGGAACAGAGTAAAGAGGTGTGCTACAATGTGGATCACCCCTAAAAACATGCTACGTAAAAGAGCCATACACAAAAGGTCCAATATTGCATGATCCCATTTATATGAAATACTTAGAATAAGTAAATACATGGAGGCAGAAAGCAGACTGTGGGCTCCAGGGGCTCCAGGGAGGAGCAGACGGGAGTAACTGCTCAGTGAGTGTTCTGGGGGCCATGGGAATGTTCTGGAAGTAGACACAGGTGGTGGTTGCACACCATGAACGCACTAAATGACACTGACTTGTTCACTTTGAAGTGGTTAATTTTGTACATGAATTTTACTTCAATTAAAAAAGCCCAAGTCTAATCTTAATATTATAAAAATACTTTGTATAAAAATGTTTTAAGAAAATCATATACATATTAATAATGTAATCTCTGCAGTGCAGAGTTAGAAGTATGTTTGGTTTTCTTCTTTTTGATAAATAACATCTAGCAAAATTTTTCTTATGAACAGGCATGACTCTTACACAATATTTTAAAAAACGTTATTCTGTGGCCCTGAATTGCATGTTCAGGCAAAGGAAGAACAAATCTCTAGCTAGGATTGGTCTGGTGTGGACAGGGCTAAAAACAGATCCAGCAGTTCTAACAGATGTTATCTTCCAATCTTACCAGCGACCCTGAGCTGTGCATCTTTCCTCTGAGGACCCCCTAAGAGTTATGTGGATGGAGACAAAGAGGAGGCAAGATTAGAGGTGGGCGTGGACTCTGCCTGTGTATGCAGAGTGATCAGCCATGTTTTGACTGGGGACGCTGGGCAATGGGGAGCATTTGGAAGAGTGTTGATGCTAATGACAGAAACCGCAGGCATGGAAATGAAGATGTCAGCTGGAGGGATGAAGTGGCTGAAGCTGGGGCTGGACCACGCGGAAGGAGAGTCATTCTTTGAGGTATTACGTAAGTGACAGCAGACAGCTGCTGTGCTTCCCCTGGGAACCCAGAGAGCTACTGAAATAGGACCAGAATGCTTTTTGCTTCCATATTGGGAAGGACTTAATCTCAAGAGCAGTGGCTTCTCCACTGCAAGTGCCAGGGAGACTTCCACTGTCTCCTTTAAGAGCAGGTCTAGTCAAGAGTTAAACCCACTGGGAAGAGGTTCTTGCAAAGCGAGATGACTCTGTAGCCTTTGACCTGATGAATCTGTTCGAACGGTCTGACTTACTTATGAGAGGTGAGCTTTGGAAACACGACAATGGGAACCACAACGTCCCATCCAAATCCCACTCCAGACCCTCCTGTCTAAGATGCTGGGGCTGGGCCCTTTTTCTGTGACAGACACACAGGACACATGAGAGGATAACATCAGCCAGACTCCAGATCTGTTGTGACAAGTTCCAATGCTCGTGTCTCAATCTGGTTTTAATCCCAGAGAGTAGACAGGCATGTGGGTCTGTACAGGGGACAGTCAGCTGCAGGAGGGCCAGGACAACCCGGGAAGTGGGGTAAAATAGGTGCAGAGTTTCTCCTGCTGGGCCCAGAGCACAAAGGCCCAGGGCAGTCAGACCCGGTGGCAAGGTCTGCCGTTGGCATGCCCGCTGTAAGCGCTCTCCAGGTGAAAGGAAAGAATGCAGTTAAGAACTTTATCTTTGAAATACCTGTCCCCAGGGACCTGCCTGCCAGGACGCACATTCTGGCTGCTGACAGGTCTGCACGGAGGCTGGCTTGGTCTGAGGGTCACAGATTCTGTCGTCTAATTGATCTTCACCGAACTGACACCAGACCTGCCGGTGCTTGTGCCCTTCCCCGCAGGTGACCGAGCACTGCAACGAAAGCACAGCCAGTCAGGCCCACTTCTCAGCACCTGTGGGGTCCCGGGCCACTCCTGACCAGCAGGAACAGGAATGCTCTTTCCCACAGCAATTCCTCTCTCTCAGCACCCTGAGAGATAATGATGCTCATTCACTCATTCATTCATTCATTCATTCATTCATTCATTCACTCTGTATTTATACAGATTCCAGAAGAAACTTGACACAGCACCATGCTCTGAGGTACTGAAGAGCTGCATTCACAGTTTTCTAGTGAGGGAGTTAAGTGTGGGGAATTGAGTCAGACCAATCCGGGTTTTAATTCAGAGGTCAAATGACCTCTGTACCTCAGTTTTCTCATCTGTACCAGGGGGACAATAGCACCTACTGCCAAGATTTGTGAAAACTAAGTGAAAACAAACCCAACTAAAGTGCTTACCCCATGTTCATCTAGTAAATCTATGCTAATAATAGAGGAATATGAAAATTGTCCAGGACACAGTCACAGTAACAGTAACAACCATGGGGAGACAAGGCTGGCCAGGGTGTTAGTAAGGGACGACCAAATGACTGAACAGCAGGCTGTGTGGGGTGACCAGGCCGGCAGGGTGGGCAGTTGGGGGTGACCAGGCCAGTGGGGGGCAACCAGGCTGGTGGGGGGGGGCAGTTGGGGCAACCAGGCCGGCAGGGGGGGCAGTTAGGGGCAATCAGGCTGGCAGGCAGAGGTGGTTAGGGGTGATCAGGCTATTGGGGGGGGGGCAGTTAGGGTGATCAGGCAGGCAGGCAGGTGAGCAGTTAGGAGCCAGTGGTCCCAAATTGTGAGAAGGATGTCCCAGATTGGAGAGGGTGTAGGCTGGGCTGAGGGGACCCCCGCCCCCAACCGGGCATGAATTTCATGCACCAGGCCTCTAGTATTAAATATAATTACTGCTATTGTCTATACTCATTGTAAAAAGCTTGAAAAGTACAGAAAAAAATAAAAGAGAAATCTAGAGTGATCCCCAAATCTCACTACCCAGGGAGGATCATTAACATGTTGTTGTCTGCTTCCCAGTCTCTTTATTTATGGAATGCTGGATCATACTGAATATATCATATAGTTTGAGAACCCTGGCTTGCACTTTATCAAGCATTTTTGCACAAGTTTGTAAATTAATTTGAAATGCTACTTTAGTTCATACTAGCTATCTAAGAAAAATAAACCCAATACCTTCTTTCATCTTTTTAAGAACAATACAGGGGTTTAAGAGAAGGCAACTTGTTAGCAGCGAAAATACGAAGCTTGTTTGTAACTGTCCAGAATAAGACACTGTTAAGCACATGCACCATTGCTTGCCTGCCATTCAAGGGGCATTAATAGTGTCCTCGTAAGATTCACATTGTATTTGATGCTAAAAGTGAGCAGCTCCCCTGCGCTTGGGTGGATGAGGTGGGGGAGTGCACGCAGAGGGTGCTGACAGGAAACACCTCTTCCCCACATCCCTGACTTGGCCATAAACAAGGGAACTTCAGTTTTCCTTCCATTTGCTGGCCAGAAGGAAGGTGGAAGGAGTCACCGCTGGGTGAGGTCCCAGGGGCTATGCTAGTGGTGCGCGCTGACAGGCCTAACAGCATGAAAGGGGCTCCACTGTGCACCGCCCTATGCTTCCCAGGTCAGGGACCGAAAGGCATAAACCCAGAGTGCCCAGTGGCCCTTTCTCTTTCCCGATTCCACTAGCACCTGGTCGGATAAGTGAGAGAGGCCACTTGCTGGGGTCTGATTCTCCTACTTTACAGATGAGGAAGCAGGACACCTCATTATTTACTGTAGGCCTAAGCCAGTGCGGCTTTATAATTCCTAAAGCCTGGATTCGCTTTGCAGTGACCTTGCTGGGGCTCAAAGAGGAGAGACGGGTCTGGAAAGTCAAAATCACTAACGAAAGCTGCCGTGGCAGGTGATGCAGCTAGCCCGGCAGTGCCTCTGAAGCCGCCAGTGGGCCCTCCCGTCCAGTATGGCAGTCCTGGGGTGGGTAGAGGACTCGGGTCGTTTCCCCAATGGAAGGTGTAGGAAAGGCACAGCAGGTCTAACCCTGAACCGCCCGGGGGAGGGGGAGGGAGGGGCTCGGAGTTGGAATGTCAGAGATGACCCGGGGAAAATGACAGCCCTGCCCTCTCACCTCGGACCAGTCTCCTGACTTCCACCGTGGACAAGGAAACTCATTGCACCTCTGAACGGTGACTTTCTCCTGATGTGTGCATTTGCTGTCATCCAGGACATCATTTCGGGTGTTGACACAAACAGCCCTTCTCCTCTGGATTCCACCATCACAGCTTTCAGAACACTGAAAAGACAACGAAAAAAACAACAACGAGTTTCTTGCCAAGCACTGTCGAGATCCTGGCTGAGATGGCTTATCCCTGCCAGACCTTAAGACACAACCAATCAACCAAGCTAACCAATCTGGTCATTTTGGGACTTTCTGTTCACATTATCAATTTACTTAACTGGTTTATAAATGAGAATAGAAAAATAAAATTAGAAATGGTCCACGGGGTATGAAAAAAGGGATTTGTTGAGTAGGTGGACCATTCCCAGTTTTCCACATGCCATGGCCACATCACACATTACAGATTAAACATGGTGCACTTTTTCGCAGATTTCGAATGGGGTCAGGCATTATAAATCAATCATGGTACTCTTTCCATACAGCTACACAGGGTTTCTAAACACAGCCCTAAGGAATGAATTAGCTGATTTATCCTCATCCATGAATCAGACTTAGCACTCGAAAAGACTGTCGTTCAGAGAGAAGCAACTCACTTCAGTCCAAGCAGAGTAGTGCCAGCCCCCGGTGTTACATTCTCCTGAGCATTTTTCCTGGTTGCCTGGTTTGGGGTGACTGCTGCAAAAACTGTCATCCACCTTCTCGGTCCTCCCGTCCAGCCGGCTGTATCTGGCACAGTAGATGTCTAACGTGCGGTAGCCCAGGCCACACTGGGCACTGCACTCACTCCTGCTGGCCACCTGCCACCTGTGCACACCGGGAAGACACCAAGACTTCTGTTAAATACATGTCTCATCTACATTCAGCTGCTGGAAGAATTGACTTCATTCCCCCCCCGTTCCTCCCCCCCCCCTCCAACTTAACTCAAACACCATCAAACCATAGTCAGTTATCGAAATCCAATTTTAAACCAACATATCCCTGTATTTTTCATGGCTGCCAATGTACATGGAAGTCACAGACTGATAACTAGAGGTTCTGTCTTTGTAAAGGTTCTCTCCTGATAAAATCTAAAATTCAAGCAACCAAAAGGGGGGAAAAACACACCAGAAGTCAACAGAGCAAAAGAGAAATTTTATATTTAAAAGGTTCATGCTACCAAGCATTTCATTTATCAAGCAGACTGCTTTCAACAGAGAACAACTTTGGGAACCCCCCGGACACCTCCCTCATGTGGGCCTGTGCTAGAAGGTGCGCAGTGAACATTCTGATCATTTGGACTGTAGTTGTGGAGTTAAGCGTGCTAAACTGTGTACATTACTACCTGTGAGTAAAGACCTTAAGTTACTCGAATACAAGTACCATAGTCTATACAACTCAATTATAAAATTTTTTAAAAAATGAGACTTTATTTATTTAGAGCAGTTTTAGGTCCAGGCTAACGTTGAGAGGAAGGCATGGAGATTTCCCATATACTCCCTGCCTCTCCTCCCCGCCACCCCCGACCCACCACCGGCCACAACCTCTATTATCAGCTTCCCCCACCAGAGTGGTATGTTTAATAGATGAACCTACGTTGATGCATCCTTATCACCCAAAGCCCCTAGTTTACATTAGAATTCACTCTTGGTGCTGTACATTCTATGGGTCTGGACAAATGTGTAATGACAGGTGTTCATCATCCTATGTAATAAAAGGGTAATATGCAAATTGACCGAATGGTGGAACAAACGTTGCTATGATGCACACTGACCACCAGGGGGCAGACACTCAACACAGGAGCTGCCCCCTGGTGGTCAGTGCGCTCCCACAGGGGGAGCTTCGCTTATGAAGCCGGGCTCATGTCTGGCGAGCGCAGTGGTGGTGGCAGGAACCTCTCCCGCCTCTGGGCAGTACTAAGGATGTTTGACTGGGGCTTAAGCCCACTCCCCACAGGGCACAGGCCTAAGCCATCAGTCAGACATCCCCTGAGGGCTCCCAGACTATGAAAGGGTGCAGGCCAGGCTGAGGGACCCTCCCCCCACCCCAGGGCATGAAATTTCGTGCACTGGGTCTCTAGTATAACATAATACTCTAGAACAGTGGTTCTCAACCTGTGGGTCACGACCCCTTTGGGGGTCGAATGACCCTTTCACAGGGGTTGCCTAAGACCATCGGAAAACACATATATAATTACATTTTGTTTTTGTGATTAATCACTATGCTTTAATTATGTTCAATTTGTAACAATGAAATTGGGGGTCAGCACAACATGAGGAACTATATTAAAGGGTCGCGGCATTAGGAAGGTTGAGAACCACTGCTCTAGAGAGTATTTGTACTGCCTTAAAACTCCTCTGTGTTATAATTGTTATTTTTCCTTACTGCTCCATAATTATATATTTTAAAAACTAGATTTGAATCTACAGATCTTTGTAGCCTTTCTTGGCACACAGCAGGTGCTCAGAATGGGAAAATAAATTCTTTTAATGCTCAGGAACATGGTCAATGCTTAAAGAAAAAATGCTGAAATTGAATTTATTTAGAATAGTCTAAATAAACTTGAAATGTATTGTGTTGATTAAATCTAATAATAAAAAAGATTGTTTTCTTTACCATCTTCATTTGGATTTGCTCCTTATTATTAATGCTGTATTGTTCAGAAATTCAGTGGCTTGGTGAGGCCCTAAGAATTCTTCCATCCACACCTGTCCAGGGCGAGGACGTGGGAGAAAATAGTACTGGACTCAAGCTTATCTCGGAATTCCTCACTAATGCTCACAAGTAGGTCAGAGTCGACCTACTTTTACATTTGGCATGTAAAGTGGGCTAACGGGATTTTGCTCTAATCGGAACATGTTACATGAGGGACAGTAAAACAGCACTTTATCTCATCCTGCCAAAGTTTAATCTGGGCGAACCCTCACTTCCCTGAGGAAGTGAGGCAAAACCCTGGACCAATTCAGCAGAGGCATCTGGAACTTTCATCTGCCCTTCGGCTCCTGGCTACCTCCACTTTGCCTTCCTCACCGTTTCCGTGTGGAAAGGTTATTTCCCATCCTGGATGAGGGAGGCAGGAGTCCCGCCTCAACAGCGCAGGCTGGAAAAACACTGTGGAGACTCCCTGATAGTCACACAATGCCCGGAATCCGAGCAGAGAACCTGGAAGAGTGTCAAAGGTCATACACTGCCCTGGGAAAGGTCTATAAAATGCGATCCTTTGCTTCACAGTCGCTCCCTCGAAGGTGGTCTCAACTAGTGTTCTGAATTCATTCGGTTCATTTCATGTAACATTATATTTTGTTCCTCTATTTCAGAAAAGCCAAGTGTCTGTTATTAAGTGGAAACAGAAAAAAAAAAAAGTGCTGTCTCTATGGGTGGGAGCTATGATTTAAGCAGAGTTCTACATCTCAGAGCCTTTGGAATGCTCATCAGCACTACGGATGTCCACACAGGGGAGGAGACAGTCAAACATCCTGGCCGGCCAGGGATCATCTCATGGAAATAGAGTTCCACAAACATGCTTTGGGCAAAACTATTTTAGAGTTTGACCATCAGTAACAATTCTCTCCTCAGTCTTTTAGCTTTGCACATGGCCACTTGGCAATACTCAGGATAAATCACAATTATAGAAACTGTCAGGTTGACAGAAGAAAGAGAAAACACCTCCTTTGGGCTCGGTTTGTGTCTGTTTTTCAGTGAGCAACTTCTACCAGACGTTTCCACTAAAAGACATGGCTACCACTCCTTCGCCTTTTCTTTTATCAGCCACAGGTGCTACTCTCATCCAAGCCTGTGCCCTGAGCTGCTGTCCTCCTTTGTTCTCAGTAGAGTCGAAGTATTTCTTTTTTTAAGCTAAGTATAAAAAAGATGACTTTCTCTGAATAGGAAATTTAGAATAGCAACTTTGACATACCTATTATATGATAAAATGAAAAGATTTTAAACGCTGGTTTAACCTTGGTCATGTGAAATTATCTATATATATAAAAGCCTAAGCGACCATTATGACTGGTCGACCAAACAACCAGTTGCTATGACACAGACTGACCACCAGGGAGCAGACGCTCAATGCAGGAGCTGCCCCCTGGTGGTCAGTGCACTCCCACAGCCACCTCCCACAGCCGGCCAACCTCCTGTGGTCCCTACCCCCAGCCGGCCCCGATCAGCCCTGATTGGGACTGGGCGAGAGGGCCCCGATTGGCCCCAATCACCAGCCAGGCCGAAGGACCACACCTGTGCATGAATTTGTGCACCGGGCCTCCAGTTTTTAATAAAAGTGAGAGGATGATTTATGAAATCAGAAAGTCTTAGGTGTGAACTCGAGCTCTAACACTTTTTAGCTATAGACCCTACGGAGATCACTTAACCCCAAGCATCAGCTTCCTTATCTGTGAAATGGGGTAAACGGGATTCTTTTTGCGGGGCTACTGGGAAGATGGGAAGGCCAGGCATGTGTAACATTGAACACACATGACACCCACTCAAGAAAAGTGGCTATTAATTACTACTACTGCTCTCGGTGTTGTACTCTCCAGCCAATTCAAGCATCATGTACCTCCGCATAAACCACAACACAATTTGAGGAGACATCCAGCTGAGATCTGCCATATAATTCTTCCTAAGTCTCACGGATTCCAGGTGCCTTCTCAATATATTTGCTTTCTAAAATTTGCTTTCATTGTGATTTTATATCTGAGAGCTTCCAGTGCATGAGAGACTCTGGGAGACCATCAGCTTAGCTGGCATCACTACCAACTCCATGGTAGCTGACTGGAATTTGTTTGAAGTGAGCATTTTTAGTTCCTTGAAGTAACAGTTCAAACAACAGCTCCACCTCAAATTGTTGCTCCTCGGGTACACTTAAGCAGGTTCTTAAAGAATCTTTTTTTTTTTTTTTTTACTGGTAAGGTCATGTCCTAGTACTGGAGATGCTTTGCACAAACTTGTCTTCCCCACAATGCAATGAGAGGAGCATGCTTAGTGCTGCAGCAGGAGTCCCACAATAGCTGCACCTGTCACTCAACACTCCCTCATCATCACAGTCTCCTGGTCTGACCCAGCCAGTGCACAAATGACAGCAAAGGGGTCCAAGTAAGAGAGAGAACAAGGATGGGGCAGGAATCTCCTGGGAGGTGTTTCTTTTCACAAAGGAAGAAAAGCTACACAAAATGAGATCAAGAAATATCACTCACTGCCTGAAATCAAAATGAAAACAGCTCTCTCCAAAGAGTAAGGCTCAAGGGTCAGACAAAGCATATTTAAATCCTGCCCTTTCACTAACTAGTTGTGTGACCTGGGGCAGTTTGCTCAACTTCTCTCACCCTGTGTTCCTTATTTGTTAATTTAGAGTAATAATAATAATACTTAGGTACTGTGTTGCTTATTAGATTATTAATAAGATAAATAGAGCATTAATATATTAACTAATTAATAGGATACTATTTTATATATATGTGATTAACAAAAGACTGTTAATAGGATCATATATTACTTAAAAATAATCCAAAGTAAATGGTTGACTCTATTATTACTTGCAGAGTAGTTACCACTCTGAACAATATAATTACTATTATTGTTACAACCTTATTAGTTATAATTGATATAAGGTTAATTGTAAAATGTCACCTTTCCCAATTTATTGAAGTTGTGCTTCAAGGAATCTCTCCACCAATTCAATGTTTCCTCCCTAAACTTCAGTGATTAATTCAGTTCAGCATTAACTAGATAATTATTTTTTTGAAAAGGCCCTGAACTTTAGTTTAACTCAATTGGCTGAATCAATGGGTTTGTATGGAGATTGCCTATAATAAGAATTAATGCTGCCCATGTAAATGTCTGCCTTTTAAGGCCTTGGGTTTTTCTTTCTACAATGACCTCTATCAACGCTTTTTGACAAATCCACCAGCAAGCAGGTCCATGGCATGGGTGGAGGGGAAGGGCAGTGGGGAGAGAGCCAGGGCTCTGAAATCAGAGACTTCAGACCAGAACTCACAAAGATGTGGTATGCGTGCCATGTTGCCCCTCCTATTCCTATGACAGACATGACTAATTGATTGCAGCCCTGCTCATCTCTCGTAACCTTGAGAATGCATTATTATTTTCCCTCTAGCCAACAGGCCTGCCAACACCACTTAACAGGATTTGGTATGGTGATGTGGAACCTGCGAAGTGCTGAAGTCCATTTTGCTTCTTATGAGTGGTGAGACCTTTACAAGTTCCCATACTATTTTATATTAATAACTAGAGGCCTGGTGCACAAAAATTTGTGCAGTCAGGGGGTCCCTCAGCTCGGCCTATGCCCTCTTGCAGTCTGGGACCCCTTGGAGGATGTCCACCTGCTGGCTTAGGCCCACTCCCTAGGGGATTGGACCCAAGCTGGCAGTCAGACATCCATCTGGCAGCCTGGCAGCCCTCGGGTGATGTCCACTTGCCAGCGGGAGCAGGCCTAAGCTGCAGTCGGACATCCTTAGCGCTGCTGAGGAGGTGGGAGAGGCTCCCACCACCACCGCTGTACTGGCACATGTCAGCCTGGCTTGTGGCTGAGCAGAGCTCTCCCTGTGGGAGTGCATTGAACACCAGGGGGCAGCTCCTGCATTGAGTGTCTGCCTCCTGGTTGTCAGTGTATGTCACAGTGACCAGTCATTCCCAGTCATTCTGCTGTTAGGGTCAGTTTGCATATTACCCTTTTATTATATAGGATAGAGGTCTGGTGCATGGGTGGGGGCTGGTTGGTTTGCCCTGAAGGGTGTCCCGGATCAGGGTGGGGGTCCCACTGGGGTGCCTGGCCAGCCTGGGTGAGGGGCTGAGGGCTGTTTTCAGGCTGGTCAAGCGCCACCCCCCCAGTGGGGATCCCTCACCCCATGGAGGTTTGGCCAGCCTGGGTTAGGGGCTGATGGCTGTTTGCAGGCTGATCACACCCCTTAAGAGTGGGGGTCCCCACTGGGGTGCCTGGCCAGTCTGGGTGAGGGTCTGATAGCTGTTTGCAGGGTGGTCAAGCCCCCCCCATTGGGGACCCTCACCCCATGGAGGTTTGGTTAGCCTGGGTGAGGGGCTGAGGGCCGTTTTCAGGCTGGCGAAGGAAGCTCCCAGCCTCTCCTTTTTTCTCTTCTGGGATTTATTTACCTTCTATAATTGAAACTTTGTAGCCCTGAGAGGAGTTTAGAGCTGGCCAGGGCAGGCGGGAGGGAAGCCTCCTGCTTGCTCCAGCTCCGTAGCCATGGCCGGCTGAAAGCAGGTATCTGGGGTTTATTAACCTTCTATAATTGAAACTTTGTTGCTTTGAGTGGAGCTCAGAGCCCGACACAGCAAGCAGAAAGCTTGGCTTCCTCCATCATTGGGGCAACCAAGCCTCCTGCTTGCTCCAGCTCTGTGGCTGCCAGCCACCATCATGATTGGGTTAATTTGCATATAGTCGCTCTGATTGGTTGGTGGGCATGGCTTAAGGCATAGAGAAGGTACAGTCAATTTGCATGTTTGTCTTTTATTACTGTAGATTCTTTTCTGTCAAAGGAGACTAAAGCACCAACTCATCTTATCTGCACTTAACTAATATGTAGACTATACAATGCAACCTCCAGGCTACTTAATATTCAAACATGTTACAATCAAGCTTATAGGCAAATGGGAAAACTATAGCATTCTCCACCCATCCACCATTTCTTGCCTTAGATTTCTTTTTTTTTTTTTTTAATATATTTTATTGATTTTTTACAGAGAGGAAGGGAGAGAGATAGAGAGTCAGAAACATCGATGAGAGAGAAACATCGATCAGCTGCCTTTTGCACGTCCCCTACTGGGGATGTGCCCGAACCAAGGTACATGCCCTTGACCAGAATCAAACTTGGGACCCTTCAGTCCGCAGGCCGATGCCCTGTCCACTGAGCCAAACCGGTTAGGGCATTGCCTTAGATTTCAGACTTAAATGCAGAATTGTTTGGATCCTTAGACAGCTACATACAGATTTCCTTCCAACTCCTTCTATGAGTCCACCTTGCCTTAGCACATTGCAACTTTCATGTGCATAAGAGCTCCCCTGGGGTGTATACACTCTGAGTGATTACAGACTCTTCCAGGTATTTCAATGGATAACGTTTCCCCCTTTTCTGTTGAGTTTCAAGCTAAACTTTTGTAAGATGTGATGCAATCATAGTGATACCATACCTACACAGTGAATTGTGAGGGTCAAATGAAAACTGCTTTTGGCAAGTGCCATAGTTTACTAGCTATTTTTAATTCTTAAAAAAGAGGAATAAGACATGTGCAGGTGTGTGTGTTGGATAATCTCCATTTCACAGAAACACAAGGATGGGGACGAAAGACCAACATCCCCTGCTCCTGCTGCTCACCCAGAGACCTCCGGCCAGACCCCCACAGCTCGGGAGTAAAGACCATGATGAAATACTGGCCTTACCTCAGGTCACAGTCTGTGCCGCAGGGCTCAGTGATGGGGCTTGGCTGGGGCAGCCGATCACACCTTTGATCAGAAACTATGAGCTGATTAAACTCCCTGGTGCAAACAGGTTTTCGTTTCCGCTCTCCTAAGCAGGGGGAAAATTAGTCAGAGAGAGTAACCTATTCCATAAACTGTTCAGACCAGGGCTTGGCAAACATTTCCTATAAAAGGTTAGATAGTAAATAGTTTGGGTTTTGTGGGCCCAATGGCCTTTGTTGAAACTCAGCTCAGCCATTATGGGACAAAAGCAGCTGCTCATAGACAGTATATAAACAAGCAGTGTGTCTGTGTTCCAATAAAACTTTATTTATAAAAGCATAGGGTAGGCTGAAATTGGCCCCCTGTCTGTGGTTTGCCAACACCTAATTCAGGCAAAAGGAAACACAATAAATAATATGTCATATGACTACTAAATTGATGTTTCTGGAAAGTGACAGAGCCTATTGGTTTGGCTTCCCAGTGTGTGTGAAACTCTTAGACGAAGAAAGCTAACAGAGCCCTCAGCCCTCAGAAAGCTTACCATGCAGCCAAGTGTGAGACAGACTCAGAGAATGCACAGCAGAGAATGCAGGCAGATAGAAAGTTGTATAAATAGCATGTATTTGCCTGTTTCTTAAAAATATTTAAAAACACTGCAATTCTTTTTTTTTTTTTTTTAACTAAAAAACACCTCAAAGGTATATAGAAAGAAGAACTGTGGAATCTAAAAAGAAAACCAAGCTCAGAGAAACAGAGATGAGATTAGTGGTTGCCAGAGGTGTGGGTCAGAGGTAGTGATGGACAAAATGGGTTGAAAGTGGTCAAAGCTACAAACTTCCCATTGGAAGATAGATAAGTCCTGGGAATGTAATGTATAGCATGGTGACCGCAGTTAACAGCACTGTGTTGTATATCTGAAAGTTGCTCAGAGATTAGATCTTAGAAGTTCCCATTGCAAGAAATAAAACTGTAGCTATGTGTGATGATGGGTGAAAAATAAATTTATGGTGGTGATTCTTGTAATATCAATTATATGTTGATAAAACTGGAAAAGTGAACACACTAAAAGGTTACCTCACATCCCCCAAACGCAACTGGAAAGCTGATACCTTGACAAGGTTTGCTGCAGGGCTGCCAGGGCCCGTGACTGTTCCAGTAGAACTGCGGGGGCCTGTCTTCGATGGGGACATTGAAAGAGTAGTACACCTTGGGGTTGAACAACTGCCCCACCGCCAGCACCTGCGATGTGCAGACAAAATGGACATGGTGTTTGCATGCCTGGTTGGCCCGAGTGGAAGCAAAGGGCTGTGGGCTCGTGGCCACATGTTTACCTGAATCAGGAGTTCTTGTTCAATGCGGCCTGAGCAGTTGAGTTTCTCTATGACGGTTTCGGAGCCACTGTACTCGATCAGAGCCTTCCCAATGCGGATCTCCTTCTTGGCCATTGTGATAACGAAGTTCCCATTTATGAAGTACTCACCATCGGTGTTCGATAGCGCTGGAGGTAAGAAAACAGAATCCCACTGATTTGCCGCCAACGGCTCCCTGATGAACAATGACATGACACTTGGATAAGGAGTCAGAGTGCAAAGGACATGGACTTCTCAGGCAAACAGGCATGGACTCCAATCCTAGCTCTGCCACTTGCTGGCTCTGGGGCCTTGGGAAATCACGTCCTCACCTCAGCCTCCATTTCTTTATCTCTAAGACAGAGAAAACAACAACTACGCTTCAAGGTGCCTCTCAAGGGTAAGAGAAATCTAAGCATCCTGACTAGCCTAAGATTTGTTATACAAGCCCCACCATAACAGGGTTAGAGATGGAAACAAGAGTGTCATGATGTAAAAACAGGTACAATGAATTGAACATTAACAAAATGGATCCCCACGCAAATATCCCTCCCTTCTTCACATTGGCTTTACTCGGGCTCATGAAGTCTTGGTCAGCCTTCTTTGTGTGACAGATGTGGAGACCTGAAAATCCATGGCCAATCTGTGTGCTCAAATGCCACCTTTTCCATGAGGCCCACAGCAGTGGCCAGCCTCCAATTGGGCCCAGTGACCTTTGCCTCCTGGAACTCACCTCCTGGGTCATCCCCTCCTCCATGGAATAGCACTGACATGTAGTCACTAGGACACTGCAGAAATGACAGTGTGACTTCCAAGGCCAGGTCAAAGGCATGTGGTTCTGCCCTGCTCTTCCTTGCATCTCTGGTTTCAGGAAGAAAAGCCAGCTGCCATATTGTAAGGAAGGCTAATCAGCCCCTTCGAGGGCCTTCTTGCAAACAGCAATGAGGACTGAGTCCTCTTCCAGCGGGTCCGAGGGAGGCACGTGGGAAGTGGATCTGCCGGCCCCAGTCAAGCTTTCAGATGCACAGACACCTCACGCCAGAAACACGCAGCCATGCTGCCCCGGAATTCCTGACACACAAAATCTGGAGACCGTCTGTATCTGTTCTGTGAAGCCACACGTTTTGAGAGCATTCTTCAAACAGTAAAAGCTGTTCAACAGAACCACTAGTTTGGAAATGGCCATCCCTCCCACCACCAGCACAGATCTCCATTTTCTACACCGTTTCCCACCTGCATTTCTCGCCACAGCACTGTTTATGCTTTCCTCCCCAAACGAGAATGTAGGCCCCCTGAGGACTAGGACCTGGGGACCGTCTTGTTGGCTACTACATATATGCCAGCTTCCAGAGAGCACTTGGTAGGTGCTTAATACATACTTTCTTTGGCAGAATGAATGAATCTACTGCAGATCTTATAAAAGAGGAAACAATCAGTGAAGCTGGAAAAATAATGTTGGAGAACTGCCTGAGTCAAGTGCCGAAACATTAGCCAACGCAGAACATGACAGTCAGTCAGACCCGTGAGTAAGTTACACAACGGACCGAAAATGGACAAGGAAGATGAGATGGCGGCTGCTTTCCGAGGAATAATTTATGTATCAAGTATCAGGAGAGAGCGAATAAAGCCCCAGAAAGTTCTTAAGAAGGGACTCCCTCTCAGAGATGACTGCTGAATTCAGATGGCAAGGAAAGAATGCACCACCCTGACATCATGACTTGAGTGGGAAACTTTGGCAGAAATATTTACCAACTGCGTTAGTCTCCATCTACAAAACTGGGCACGATAAAAATTAAAATGTAATCTTGTTGAACATAAACATAAGAAAAAATAAATCCTAATCACCTCTTTCCTCCTCGTACTTATTATTAAAGTTTTGGTTTGAGGTACCAGTCGGTTTTCCCAGTGGCCCTGCTCCCTGGATAATGAATCCTCTGGAGGACTGGGCTGGACGTGAAACAGGCACTCAACAAATCAGGGCTATCAAACATGTGGGCTTGGCAGAAAACACTAGAGAAAAGGCCCCTCACCGTTTGTAAATTGTGCCTGACTGGCAATTCTCAGCAGGAAGGGAGCCCTTGAAATACCCAGGCCATGAGTGTAGGTGAATAAAAGGAACATGGACATTTAATGCATAGATAGCAAATAGGTTTCGCCCCAGCACCCATGTCCATGGGTTGGTACTAGCTGCCCAAGAACCTACACAGGACAGGGTCCCTGCAGCTTCCTGTCTCCGCAACATGCTCACGACAATCTGTCTTGGTTGTGAGATGAGGAGGGGCCCAGTGTTTGTCAGGTCCTTGCCCGTCTTTCACTGAGGCAGGCAGCGCACTTTCCCACGCGGGCAGCAGCAGCGTGCGTGTAGGAGGGTGAGAGGGTAAGGAGAGAAGGCAGGGTGCCCCATGTGGAGGAGATGAACGCGGCCGAGGCGAGCGCTGAGAGCTTCTTGCAGCAGGAGCAGCACACTCTTGCTTCTCGCACAGGGAACCTCCCAGAGCTCCCTCAGCTGGACACTGTCCCGATGCAAAGACTCTGCGGGGTCAGGAATTAACTGCATGGAATTCTGTCCCTAATCCAGCACTTCTCTACCGGAATTCCCATCCTGGGAGCCCCAACTGGGCCCTGAGGGAAGCATACAATGCCTTCATTTGAAATGGTGGGGAAGAACGTGGAGACAGGGAAAAAGCTTTAAGAAAGATTAAAAAACAACAACAAACCTCCAAAACTATGGCTACTTCTTCTTAGCTCAACATTCTTTGGCAATCCCTACTGCCTACAGAATTCAGTTCACATTCCCCAGGATGACTTTCTATACCTTCACAAATCTTATCATGACCTATTTTTCCAGCCCCACCATTCACTCCCACCGATAAATCTCAATTTCCAGTCATGTGTATCCCCAGGTCCCGTCAGCCATACGTTTTTCTACAGGGAGGCAATACAATGATGTGTAGGGTCTGAAGTCAGACCAAAAAGCAATACAATTCTCCCCTTCTGTTTGTGTGATCTTGGGTGAGTTACTTAACCTCTCTGAGCCTCAGTTCCTTCCTCTGTATAATGGGTTTCTCATAGGATTGTTAAGAATGTTAGATACGACAGGACACACCGGCTTCCGTTCCTGGCAGATCAGAATGCCTTTACATGCATGGTCTCCCTGTCAGGCCGCTATCGATGCCTAATATAGATGAGGAAAGCGTGACTTAAATGTCAGCAAGTACCTTCCCAAGGAAGGTCTCTTGTCAAGGAGGCCTGTCTCCAAAGCCTGCTAACCACTAGCGTTTTCTAAGAAGGACATCAACAAACAAAAACGAATTTAGGCATTCTTCCTCGTGTGTACAAATACAACCCAAATATATTTAGCGACACATTTTTTAAAAATGTAAATTGTTTGCTGCTAGACCACAGGAGCCCCGTTAGTAAAGTGACCATTTAAAAATGCACGTTTCTAAGGCCGAGAAAGATCCCAGTCGGGGCTCAATCAATGATGTTAAAGGAGGAGTGATTGGCTGAACCTGACATCAAGACAAGGAGGCAGAGTGCTTGCAGCCAAATGACTGTTTCCTTGTCAGTGTGAGCCCCTGGCAGCCTCATCTCGCCTGCAGCTCTTGCAGCGTGAGCCCCACCAGCCCGGCGAGACGCACGAGTTTCACTGGGTCACTGATTGGAGGTGAAGTCGTTTCCATGGCACCAGGGCATCCGGAGACTCCTAATGTGGGTCCCTTACATGGTGATGGCAGGACATGCTGCCAACATCACCCAGTTTTTCAAGTGAAGTTGCCTCTAGCCACCCAGCTGATGTTTCACGAAAAGGAAATAAGGTGTCACCAGGCCAGTCTGTAAATGAAGCTGTAATCCAGTTTTGCTCCTATTCAAAGAGCAACCGTTTATTCTAGGGGGCTCTGGGCTCCTGTCCCATGTCTCCAGGCTTCCTCTCATGCTCTTGCTGACCTGACCCTTCACCCTTCACCCTTCACTGCATCTCCTTGTCCCAAAGACGGTGAGCAGGGAATGAGATGGGTGTCACCAGGTGAGATGACGTTCCTGCTTTACCTTGAGCCAGATCGATCCCTGTCTTCCCACTGCCACAGCTAATCTGGCGCTAAGTGTACTGGAGGCAAGTAAGTATCACAGCAATGGCTCTTTTTTCTCTCAAAAAACAAAAAACAAAAACAGCATCCTCACGGTTCTGGGGGCAGCGGGGCTGCAACCCAACAGGAGGGAGGGTGTGTGTGAGAGGGTGACCTTTGACAGGGAGACTTTCTGCTTCGGTACCTTGTGACGGAATCATTTCCTGAGAACAACAGTGGATTGCCCAGCCTCCCACTAATGCGATTAGGGGAGCTAATTTCCTGGCTTCCTTCCCCCCATTTCCCCCATCAGAGCTGGGCTCTCCAAAAGCCTTCTCACTTGGAAGCAGCTCCATCCCCAAAACATGCAGAAGGACTGTGGCTGGGCTGGCCTTCACACATCAGGAGGGAGAAGGATGAAGGTTGCTTACCAAGGAAGCAGCTGGGAATGGACTCTTTGAGCACTTACTGCTCCTTCCTGCAAGCCAAGAGCGAACCTCTACGCGCCAGATCTGATGGTATCCCTTCCTTCCTAACCCACTGCAGGGTTCAAAGGCTCCGAGGTGCCAGTGGTCACGCTCCGTGAATGGCGACTTCCAGGCCTGCACACTTCTCAGGTGTGACCAGAGAGACGTCCTTCTGCTCACAGGTGACTTTACCGAATGTCCCTTTAAAGAGCCATGACTGCCTCAGACTGCCTGTCGCAGATGACTTCATTCTTTACAAAAGATTAAGAAACCTCCCGTGAGGAATAAAAGTCTATCAGGAGGCCTCCTCAATCCAGGCGCCTGACCTGGTGGATGAAGCTGAATGGAATTGAGGCCCCTGCGTGGAAAGAGATTACTTTTCCAGGAAGGAGGAGAATAAGGGAGAACCGTTCTCCCTTCCAAGGGAAAGAAAGGAGGAGGTCAACATGGCTTTTCGCTCGCAGGAAATTAGTTTATACAGGAGGTTGTATGTGATGCTGCTGATGTGATGAGGAAGTAGGGAGGCCACATGCTCAAATTTATAACCCAGTTCACGAAGAAAAGTGTGCGACCCATTCTGCACGGTGGTGGGATGAGGAACGAGGATTGCCAAAAAAATAACTTGAAAAGAAACCCCAAGAACTTTGTTAAGTGTCTTATAAAGTCACCACTCATCTAGATACTTGGACGTGGAAAGCTGGGCAGCCACTGAGTGACTGATTTCAAGTGAGACGTTATGGTCTTTAAAAGAAGGGGCGATTCTGTCTATTTCCATGGTAACCCCATCCCCCAGGAGCACACTGTGGGCACTCTGTAAAGACAGCATGAGTAATGGTTGTTCCCAATTCAGCAACCATGTGCCTACTTTGTGTGTAGGCTTTGTATCAAGAGCTAAAGATATAACGACACAGCCTCTGACCTTAAAACCTTGTGCTCATGGGGAGAAAAGGAGAAACAAGCCGTCTCACCTCAGTGGATGGCAGTTCCTCCCCTCAGTTGCTCAGGTCCAAACCCTGAAGTCCCCCTCTTTCTCTCACAGGTGACATTCAGTCCATCAACAAACCACGATGCCTCTGGCTCCACAAGGTACCCAGAGTTCTACCACGTGCCACACCTCTGCTGCCCCACTTGGGGTCAAGCCACCAGCTCCTCCTGGATTATTGCAGTAATTTCCCAACCAGCCTTCCTGCTTCTGCCCCCTACCCTCCCCTGCCACCTATTCTCAACATAACAGCCAGAGTGCTCATTTGAAAAATAAATCCATATATATAAAAGCCTAAGCAACCAAACGATTGAGTGATCAGTTGCTATGATGTGCACTGACCACCAGGAGGCAGATGCTCAACGCAGGAGCTGCCCTCCCCCTGGCTGGCTGCTCCCCCTACCCCCATCAGCCCCAATCACTGGCCAGGCTGAGGGACCACACTGGGCACAAATTCGTGCACCGGGCCTCTAATATGATTATATCATGCTATTCCTGGGCTCAAAACACCACAGTACCCCATGTCTCAGTATAATCCTTGCAATGGTTACATGGCCCTTTGTGATCTAGTCCTGACACCTGCTGAACCTCGTCTAGGACTCTCCTCTGCGCTCACTCAGCTCCAGCCACAGTGGCCTCCTTCTGCTCTCGGAGCAATCCAGACATGCTCCTCCTCTAGGGTTTTGCAATGTCTGTTCCCTCTGCTGGGAATGCTCTTCCGCCAGGGTGTTGTTATCTCTGCTACATTTCAAGTATCTCAACGCCACCGCTCCCAGCTCACCCTCAGGACCCCGGTTTCCCTCATGCTGCTCTGGTTTCTAATAGCTCATATCCTCCTCTAACAGTATATAGTTTGCTCATCTATAAGTTATTGTCTATCTGCACCAGCCATTTTTAACCTGTATGCCACAAGAATTTTTTAAAACAGGCAATGCCATTTAGTCAAGGGCACTGACCTCTTTTCCCTCAGATCGTCAAATTAAAAAAAAAAATGACAACAACCAACACAACAATACCCGTTTGGTGTGAATGAATCAAAATTATACCTTTTTTGGGTCAGATTGGCAAAAAATATATTTTTTGGTGTGCCGCAGAATTTTAGTAATTAGTTTATATATGTCATGAAATGAAAAAGGTTGAAAAATCACTGATATGCTCCTACTAAAAAGTAAGTTCCAAGAAAAAGGAGATTCCTATTTTAAATTTTTTGTTTTTGTTATTGTGCCTAGCACACATTATTGAATGGTTAATTAAATGAATGACACACACACAGAAAATGCTATAATGGAGTCATGCCTAAATGTTATAGTTGATGAGCCTGCTTGACTAAAGGGTCACTGTCTATCTTAGGAAGGATTTCATGCAGACATTCCAAAATATAGATTCAACTAAGACTCATGTACTAGCTCAATATGGCGAGTGTTTGGAGGCAGCCTCCCATAGAGGCTGTATTCAGGTGGATAAACAGTTCCCGTCTGGACAGTGTAGGAGAAAGCCCATTAGCACACTCATTTCCTTTAACCTGACTGCCAAAAGGGCTGCCTGATCTCCCCAGATCTGAGTGCAGTGCCGGCATGCTGCCTCTCACAGGCAGGGGTATGGTGGTGCCAGGTGACCAGCTGAATCCTCTCAGTCATGACCCCTCTCCCATGTCCTTCTTTTAATTAAAAATGGTTGGCAAATTTCATCATCACTTACTGCAGTTTTTGGAATGATATAAATTAGAGTGGGACTCGGCTGAGCACACTGTTGAAAGTGAACACAAGGTTGTCAGGGTGCTGTGCTTTCAATATAAGGAATAGGTATGAGCTAATCACATGCCTGAGTGTGGGGAGAGAAGGATGAAGAATCGGTAAAGTAACCAGATGGGCCTAGTCATGACACAAGAAAAATATTGCCACTATAGAACCTTTTGGAATGACCAGCTGTAAGCAAATATTGAGTAGTCCACTCTTGGTTAGAGTCGAGAACATAAACATTAAGTCAGGTAATACCTCTAATAAAACCTTTGTAAGTCAGTTACCCACAGGACAGATTTTTTGAAAAAGACTCAAAGCAATGATTTTATGCTAAACTTACAAGACAAGTACTTTCAAAATGTGATTTAGGGCCCAGGCCAGTGTGGCTTAGTTGGTTGGAGCATCGTCCCAAACACCAAAAGGTGGTGGGTTTGATCCTCCATCAGGGCACATACCTAGGTTTTGGGTTTGAACCCCTGTAGGGATACATACAGGAGGCAACCAATTGATGTTTCTCTCTCTGTCTATCTCACTTCCTCTCTCTTTCTCTAAAATCGATTAAAAAATGCTTTAAAAATTTTGATTTAGGGCCTTTCTATTTTCTAAGATCCAGAGTAAATCCCTCAATATTGACTGATGTAACTACATGAATCTTACATCAATACTCTGAGAGTCTATATATGCAGGAGAAATCAAATAAGTGAATTTCAAGACCAACTTCTTTTGTGAAAATACTTGACACCGGAAAGCTCTCCGCGTGCAATGCAGGAAGGGAAGTGTCCACCAACTGCTCCAGAAAACAAGAATCCCTGCCCGTGGCAGGGGCACCCATCTCACCTAAGTAGTTATCGTCCTCCAGTTTTCCTGAGTCGCTCTCCTGCTGCACATAGATGCTGGTAGCACCCACTGGAATTCGGACCACGAGATTATAACCTGAAAAGAATTGGGAAGAAGTTCAGTGTTCCACAGCATGGCTCATCTCTCTAAGCCTAGAATAAAATACGGGCAACAAAGGAATACACTATAACTCTCGCTTATAGCCAGGTGGGTAACGTACCTTCACAAGACTGATTTTACGCTGGACATTATTACTTCTTACATATTACACAAGGTGAGCAATTTTTAAATGGTGACCATTTTCCTTCTCGTGGGAGTTAGAAATAGAGTCTTACCGTAATGTACTGCTACTGTCCAGTTTCCTTCCACTGTTCTGCATGAAGAATTATTGCCACCGCACACCCCGCACTTATCTCTCCGGGCTTTCGAGTTTAAAACGTGATCGCATCCAGCTTGCTTTTAAAAAGAAAACATTTGAAATAAGTGGTAATTATTATAAAGATGATAAAACAATAAGCAATGTGCTTCTTTGCATGCTGGACATTCAAAATGACAAGAAAATTAAGTCAAACTTGCTATGGGAAATGTGGTGGGGGCCAGCAGCCCAGGGCACCCCGAGCCTGTCGGATGTGCAGATGCGCGAGCACCCTCAGATCTGCGGGCTCGGGGAGATGTCCTGGCATGTTAACAAGCTCCTGACGTGTTGCACCTACAGAGTCGAGTTTGAGGAGCACTGGCCCACAAATAAATTGAGTAAATGAAAAGCCCACTTGGCATTGGGAAATGGAGCAGTGAGGACTGTATCCCATTAAAGAGCTCACATCCGATCTTGAAGGGAGGGGCAGCGCTGCCCACTGCGGCCACCGCCGCCAGCCATGCCCACCGGCTGACATCGCCCAATTGTCCAAGGCAAGCTGGAACATGTACTTGGCGTGAAACCGCCTGTGTAAGTATTGCCGATGAGTGCAGGCCAGCGATGGCTGCAGACCTCTTTGAGGCCTGAGGCTCCCAATGGCCTCCCGAATGTCTTCAGGTCTCAATGCAAAGCAGCAGTGTAGGCTGAGCTCTGAGGACACCAGCAGCAACCCGGAGACCAGGGGGGCGGCGCTCACATTCCTGCCCATCTGGTTCCTTTGTAGGATCCAGTCTTCAGGGAGGAACTCCAGCGCTGCCACAAAATACGCTGACAAGGAGGACCTGCACCGTCAGGCGTGAGCAGGGCGTGGGGGGCGCCCTCAGGGGCTCTTACAGTCGGATCCTCCGATTAGGAATCCCATCTGCCAGGGACCACGAGCAAGGAACACACAGGCCATCTCCTAGCCTGGCTGTGCTAGGGATGATCTGTGACTGGTGAGCACAGTGAAATGGGATCGGCCCCTGAGAAATCACTGCTCTGATGCTTTACCATCAGCCAGACGTGTCTCAATTTCCCTTCAAAGAGTAAATGACAGGTGTGCTTCAGGTAGAAGCTTTCCTGCTTAAAATCAGAAAGACGAATCTGAGTGAGGCCAGCCCTTCCTCACCAGACCACCCTGGCGCAGAGCTAGTCAATCTAGAAACTGCTGCCAGGGAGCATTTGGGTTTAACCTTAAGCACTGAGGTTACGGTGAAGGAGCGTGTGGGGAAACTGTTGCAAGACACCTTCACAGGGAAGTTCTGTGCAGGCCCCTGAGGGGCTGAGACTATCAAGAAAAATCCATGGTGGCAGGTTCAGGGGTGTTGATGCTGCTCTGGGGACCCCACTTGGATAACCACTGCCCGGAGGCAGTGCACAGGTCTTAGCAGCTGCTACTCCGTCAAGAAAGCCACAGACCACAGCCTGGCAGCGAGACAACAGTGACGGAAACACCAGTGGCGACTTACCCGGCAGAGGCCTTGGACGCAGATGTCGCTGGTGTCCTGGCTGCATGGGGTCCCGTCCACCACTCTGTCCTTGAGCTGGTAGTAGGCTGTGCTTGTGGCCACCCTGCAGAACAGCTTGCACCGGTCCTTCAACAAGACTAGAGGAGACACACCGTGAGCGCAGTGCGCCTCGTGCCGGGACGCCCTGGGCCCCGGACCACCCCGCCGCGCACTCACTTCCGCTGTACTTGGGCACCCAGCGCACGGTCGGACTGATCCCGTTGATGTTGAAGTGCTTCCCGTCAAACTGAGCACACTGCTCCTCTCGAAAGTCGCGCTTCTGCTTGGGACATGGCTCCGTGTTGCAGGACCTAAATTTTTTCCTGCGCCCCGTGCAGTACTTTCCACCGTATTTGGGCCTGAGCAAAGGGAAAGAACACGCGCTATTTTATAAGGTATTTCCCTCACCCGTGGCTTCTGGTCTTCCAGGGAAGGACATCTGAAGTGGCCGGTGACAGGGAACAGGGCCAGGGCTCTGAAGTCTGTGTTTGCGCTCTGCCTTCAACACCCTTAACCGTCTAACCTTGGACAAGTCACTTAACCTTGAGCCTCAGTCTTCCCATCTGTATAATGGAAAGGTGCTATTGGATAAGGCTGTTTTAAGTGTGTAACTTAAAGTATAAAATTCGAAGACTGGAATCAATTAGCACATCTTCTCGCCTTTCTCCCAGTCAGTTAGTCCTTAGATTTCAAAAAGGCAAAAGGTGAAAGGTACAGATGCGTAGCTAGAATGCTCCCTGTCTGCCTCTCCTACTGATAGTCTCCTGGGAAACCATCCTAAACTTTTGCATCCCACCCCCATTCATGCCCTCCATCCTCTCTTCCCACCAATAACCATTGTATTTGTTTGTTTTACAAATAAGATGGAATAAAGGGAACGAATGTGCCTGTATTTCCACTAACTTAATAGAAGCGGGAGAGCACACTGGCTTCATTGCCTTTTGTACGGCAAGAGTATGGAGTCTGGCTTGCAAAGCATCACAGTGCAAATTTAATCTCTGCATGCAACCCGTGCATGTACTTTCCAGATGTGACCCGGAGAGTAAATTATACAACACGTCTCCCAGCAGTCAGCAGCTTGCCAAGTTCATCATGGAAACTGGAAGATCAGAGTCCTACGCAGTCTGGCTCACCCAGCCGGGGCTGGTACAGCTCAGATTTCTCTGCCACCCTAGGACACCCCTCTCACCTTCCCGCCTCTCCTCTGCGGAATGAATCTTTCAGAGTGATTTGGACCTTAAGAAGTATTTTTGCTTTGTTTTGTTAAACCAGGCCCTGGAGGAATGGGAAATGTATCCAAGCCCAGAGAGGCAGCCCGGAGCAGGTAGGAGCTGGATCTGGGCTCCGCTCTTGGCCGCATCCTCGCCAAGTGACCATAGACCGCTTTTAGGCTCCTTGCACTTCAGTTCTCTCCTTCTCTAACGTCTGCGCACAGTGGACGCCTGGAAGGTTAACTGCTGTGAGGTGCATGTGAGCACTCCCAACCTAACCGGTCCAGGTCAGCAGTTTGCGTGTTTGAGAGGCAAATCCGAGCGACAATGTGGCTTGCATCCCGAGGCCGGATGCGGTGCTCCTGCAGCGTGCCCGCGCCTCAGGCAGGGCCACCTGGCCGGGACACTGTCATTAATGTGGTCCCTCGATCAGAGATTGTGGAGTTAGGTAAGAGCGTGGGCTTTGCAGTTACAGCTGAGCACTTCTGTATAAGTCCCCTGGCCTCTCTGAGCTCTGTCCTGCACATGTAAAGCTTATTATGAATAGTTACCATGAAGAAGACTGCATCTAGATATGTGAAATGACACATTACCCAGCAGTATCTGTCTGATTGTTTTCCCATTAAACACAGTTAAATCCATAAGCTTTTAATCTGCACTGTACATGTGACTAGCCAAACGCACGCATGCTCTGCCCAAGAGAAAGGCAGAGGTACTTAAATACCATGCAAGAGAAGGTTCGGGGAAGTTAAGTACTTTGCCCAAGGTCACACAGCTAATAAGAGAGCAGAGACAGGAGTAGAGGTCACGTTTCCCAGGGTCTTGCTCTGTGCTCTTTCTGCTATGTTATCTGGAGCTATGGCCCGGAATCTTTTCTTTTTCTCTTTTGATGCCACTTAGAGATACAGCCTCGGTTTCCTGGATACTAAGCTCTTCTCTCAATATGAAGGCACCCAAGTCTCATACATATAATGCCAGGTTACGCATGAATAATAGCTCAGGTCCACATAGCTGTGCAGGTGAAGCTTGTTTTAAAAGTGCTACAAGGAAGAGCCCCTTCACCTTTCCCTCAAATTGAAATGATCTTTGTACATCGTTTTAAATGCCCCAACTAACTCTGGTGGATGGATCATTTATTTGTTGCCTGAAAATAATTCACATCTCTTTCTCTTGGAAAATACATTTAAAAGTTGATTTTTTTTGGTGATGGTGGTGTGTGTGTGTGGGGTCTGTTACCTAATGAGTCTTAGCTGACTCTTGCAACTGACCAAATGCAGCAGTTCTTTGGGCTGCAAAGAGTTAATACTTGTAGGTGGCTTCCCTGCAGATGGTGACACCTTCCACCTTTGCCTGCTTTGACCACTATCAAATGGCAAATCGCATTTAGTGATTTATTTTTATAAATGACATTTTAAAAAATATATTTTTATTGATTTTGGAAAGGAAGGGAGAGGGAGAAAGAGATAGAAACATCTATGATGAGAGAAAATTGTTGATTGGCTGCCTCCTGCACACCCCAAACTGGGGATAGAGCCTGCAACCCAGGCATGTACCCTGACTGGGAATTGAACCGTGATCTGGTTCATAGGTCAATGCTCAACCAGCTCAACCATGCTGGCCGGGCTATAAATGGCATTTTTATGAACAATTCATAGAAAACACTCTATGTGAGAGACCATGTTTCTGAGGTTATCAAGTCGGACCCTACAGAGGGTTTGAATCCCAGCCCTGCCTCTTACTGAGAGAGCAATCTTAGGCAAGGCGCTTCATCTCTAAGCCTGCTCCCCTCTTGTAACAGGGAGATGATGCTACTGTCTGCTTCATCGGCTCAGGGAGAGTCAACTGGGTGAATCCATTCAAAGCGCCTGAGCGAGGCCCGCCACACGATAAATGCTGAGCTATTACAAGGGTTTATGAACGACAGCAGGGCCACCTGGCTGGGACACTGTCATTAATGTGGTCCCTCGATCAGAGATTGTGGAGTTAGGTAAGAGCGTGGGCTTTGCAGTTACAGCTGAGCACTTTTGTGTAAGTCCCCTGGCCTCTCTGAGCTCTGTCCTGCACAATATGGGCTAAAATCTGGCCTACGACCTGTTTTTTTACATAGCCAGCAAGAAAATAATGTGGGTTTTTTTTTTACATTTTAGAATAGTTAAAAAACTTTTTAAAAAAACAGAGATACATAAAAAGTAGGTGAAATTAAAATTTCAGTGTTCATAAACAAAGTTTTATTGGAACACAGCCATTAAGGTCCTCAAAGTCTAAAATACTTGTGAAATTTTACAGAAAAAGTATTCATTTATGGAAAGAGTGTGCTGGCCCCGAGCTATTCTTTGAGTGTGCAGGGACACACTCTGAGGTGGGAGTGGCATTCTGGTGTCTGAAACTGTGAGAAATGGGCTCAGAAATGTTAAGCATTCTGTCAAGGTCACATGCCAGTTAAGTGAGATGTGCTGGCTGAGACCAGCCCCGTCCCCTGGCCTTTCACTCATCATCTGGCCTCACTGCTAGGCCTCCTCTCTTGAATCAGGACTCTTTTCATATCAAAACTCGTCCTCTGATCTTATTTGGTTTTTATAATAAAGGCAGATTATATTTGATTAATACATGTAAATTTGCCCTTTTGAAATGTATCGCTTATCTTATATCCCAGCCAATGCGATCTCGGCCTGCCTTGCCTGTATTGTTTAATGGGGAAGGCTTTAGCCAACTTAACTTACCTTTCAGCCCTGAGAATTTCATTTTACACTTTAGTAATTTAGCTGGGTAGGCGTATTTTTTCCATGTAGGAAAATACTGAAAATTATAGGAAATGCAACTTGAAAAAATATTAACCACATTTTCCAACCATTAAGATCCTTTAAAAATATAGCATGTCAAATAGGGATGAAAAGGACTTAAGGACATTGTTAGATTAATTACTATGAAAGTAACTATACTCAGCACAGCCATGCTGAATTTTCCCTTCCAGCACATATTACACAACCATGCTTACTCATACATAACAAAGAAAATTCGCAATGCTGCACAGCCAAAGATAAAGGCATTTTACAAGGATCATCACAGGTGCATTCTACCATCAAGGGGAGCCAACCTTTAATCTGCAAATGGCTTTAAACAGAAATCATGACTTCTGTGTTTACTTACAAAGAGTTAGGGCAGGCAGATTAGGGTCAGCACAAGGAGAAATTTCTAAGAATATAACAGCAGCCCTCGAAGCTAGTGTATTTCCTAAGTTTGGAGGGTTTTAAGGAGTTAAATGACCAACTGCAGAGGATGCTGAAAAGCTATTCGGGGATTAGATGGGACGAGCCAGGAAGCAGCACTAGTCATCACTGAGGATCCTGCCAAGTGGGGCAGTCTCTGGGACTGCAGTCTCTGGGACTGGATACTAACTCATTGGTCAATGGCCCTCCCACAGTAGCTAATTCTGGACATTTTTAAATAAGTTCATCCAACTCAGTGTCTCAAAGAGCTTTGCTGCAGTTTTGTTACAGCCAAATGAGAGATTGATTTTCATAGACGAAACAGACATATATGTCTACTCTCTTGTATGTAAGATTTCATCAGCAGTTGCTATGGTGAAAGCCTAAATAAGAAATATCCAGTTCACTATCTTGTCTTTTCTTAAATCAATGAGTTTATTGTTATTAAATTTAACCTACCTTCAAATTTAAAAGCAAAACAGAAGCACTAGAAGAGGGAAATACTCTGCCTGCCGTTCCTGAAGAACTGGCTTGATTTGTTACTTTGATGGACGTTAACGATTCTATAAGCCGTTTCTTCCAGTCACCAGGAAGCGCAGGGCCAAACTGGGAGCCCGAAATAAAAGTGCTGGCAGCGGGCCTGCCCATACCTCTTCTGGGTCCTTGCTGGTCTTGTTCTGACACTCTAAGTTAGAATCTGCTGGTTATGATTTAAAATGTTGCCCTATTACATATCTCTCATAGATTGGGTGGCCATAGAATTAACTGTCTAATCCAGGGCACTTGGAGAGGAAAAGGGAGCTATGAAACTTCTCCAGGACAAGAGATGCCAATGGGAACCAGCCAAATGCTCCTTTTACCTGTAGGGCTTGGGTCAAAAATGGAATTAAGAACAATAAATACGGCATTTAAAGACAAAATATCAGGGCCCCATTGTCATGACGGCAAACCTGGGCCACCGTATACAACCGGAGGCCGCGATTTTGGACTAAAATTAGGAACATAGGGTTTGTACAGCTTTCTCATGGCCGTGGCACAACCCATGTGCATAGTAAGGTCACTTTTCTTTTTCAGCTTTCATACTTTCCAGGAAAACATCCTCAACATCCAGCGTAATGTGTCTGGATGCTAAAGAAATGCATTCTTGAGTCACATGGATACTGTGAAAAATTAAAAACAATCCCGTGTTCTTAATAGAGACAACCTTGAATTCTGAAGTTGGAGCTTGACATTGAACTCTGGCACTGAGGAAAGGGGTGTCCCTGGTGGGAGACCGCCCCCCCCGCCCCGCCCCCAGACTGAGGATCAGGGCAGTAACCGCTTCCATGGTCCCTAATGAACCATCCACTACGCCAATGTCTCTGAACAAGCTTTTAACTGAGGTTTGGATCTGATTTCGCGTTTCTGTGCCCCCTTCTCTGGTCAAACTGACTCGCTGGTCCACTGGGACCTCGCTTCAGAGGCAGTGTCCTTCCTCAGCCCCAGGCATTGTAATGAGGTGGTGGCCGTGTGGCCACTGGGCCAGGCGGACTGCATCCGTGAAAAACCCCCGGGGGGGAAACAGCAAGAACAAGGGCCTCCCACTGCCGACCTCAGTGATTGGCCCCTAACTTCTGAATGTGAGGATCTTCGCTTCACTCTGAAGCTCAAGACCCTTTCCCGTGGCGACCTTCCCGCGGGTGACTGTCTGTCTGGCGCAGGCCATGGAGGGATTCATCTCTCCCTCCCTTCCTCAGCACTTCTAGAACTGCCCTGATGCTTAAACAAAAAGAAAAAAACAAACATTTCTTTTGAATACAATATCCCTGAGTCAAAACTTCAAAAAGTGTCACTATTTGCAATATCCATACCCTCATGATAATATAGCTTACTATAATAATAATTTGGCTCACTGTAACCACCCACTAGTTTTTAATTTTTTAAAAATTCAGATTTGCTGTTAGCTTTAAATGTTTTATTTTAAAATTTCAACAGTGCAAATAGCTAGGATATATACTTGATTTTAAAAAGCAAGCTGTAGAACACTGTCTAGTATGATCTTGATTTTGTATAATGCTTATTTCATACAATACATATAATTGTTTTTGGCAGTTATTTCTTGTGGGGGTAACTGGGGGTTAGAAATAACAGTAAGAATTTTTATATATCATATCCTTTTGTATTTACATTTTTTAAAGCATGTACTATTTTATACCATTATTTTAAAAAATACTAAATATGGGCAAATCTAATGTTTATTAGCTTATGAACATAGCTATAGTGTTAGTTTTATAAACCAGAGTCTGTATCTCATAGCTCTATAGTTGTTTTCTATAGAGACTACTAATATGTGGACGTGAACTCAATGTTGGGCTGTGAACAAAAATATATTAAAATTAATTGATCATCATCTGTGATTTGTGCTACAGAGTATTTGCAGAACTTGCAACAGTGACCTACAGCTATTTGTTTAACGGCTCACACAACTCAGATTTTTCTTGTAAAAAATCTGGAAGCTTGGTCAATAGCAGTCCCTTTTCCTGACAATCAGCACTTGGTCTCCACCCCTCTGCAACACAACCCTATTGTACTGAGCCAGGCCACACTGCTACTTCACCTGCCTGCTTCTCTCTGCATCCCACCTGCCCTCCTGCGTGCAGGCTGTTAATGCTAAATGAGTACAGCTGGGCGGATCATTTTACATTACCCAGAGCAGCTGGCTCTTGAAAAATGGTTGTTGCTTTCTACAGCTAGAAACTACTATATGCCGAATCTGTGAAGACTTCTTGGTGTCCCCACCTATATAGGTTCAGTGGCAATAATATCCTGTATTGTTTTCTATTCCTTTAAATTTGATACACCTTCTAGCCACACAAAATCGGATGTCATTCCTCATAAAGAAGAGAGCAATTTTCAAAACCTGCTGGTTAATAGCCTCCGCAGCAAACACAGGATAACATGCCAGGATAGGTGCTGAGAAAACCCCACTGCCTTTACTTGACCATCCAAGTCCTAACAAGGCCGGGCTGCTCACACGAGGGTTATCCCGAAGAGCAGGACACTCCCACGCTGTAAACGGTCAGGTTGTCTCACCTGTGAAACAACCAGATTGATTCAAAAGTAATTCCTGGCTTGGGGTTCCAGATCCATTGGGATCTGCCGATGCTGCCTTGGGGGTGTGGGTACCCTTCCCAGCATTCCAGAAGCTCACTGGAAAGGGTGCATTTCTCTATAATCTGGATGCAAATGGCCAGTTTGTTTCCACAGGAAAAATTTATCTGTTTACTTTAGTAGCGTGCAAGCTCTGAGGGGCAGTGAGCTACGCCGGCCTGTCGGAGTTAAACACAAACGCATCTACTGTTGGGGAGAGAAAACTTTTAATAATAAAGGAGCATTGGAGGAAATAATAAACATTCGTTCTGGCAGCCCCAGAAGTCCACCCACTTTCTTAATTTGGAAAGATCTCTTCGCCTGCCCCCAGCTACACGGTTCCCTTCGGGCCTTTTTCGCTCCTGCTCTCCCGGCAGGACAGGGAGGAGTTCCGGACTTACGCTGGTCTGTTGCACTCCCGGACAGCGGCGCGGACGCCCCCTCCACACGTTCTGGAGCAGGTTCCAAACGGAGTCCAACTTCCCCAGGATCCATCAATCGCGGGGGCCTCCATTTCTTTGGGAACACAAAATCCAAACTTGCAGTGCTGTATTTAATAAGGGAACAATGAGGGAGAGCTCGGTGCTGAGACATTGCAGGACCCGCTGTCCTTCCAATACACCCTGTGCTAACTGACTTCCAGGTGCCGGTGGGAAAGGCTGCAGTGCCATCAGCTGTGTGAGTGATGGACACTGTAGGGCTTTTAATCTCCGACTTATTGATTTTAGGCTGAGTCTTCATTCACAACTGGCTTGAATAAAGCTGGCCAACAAGTGGTCGGCTCCAGGCTGGTCCGGGCGGCCAGCTTTGAGGTGCTCAGTGAGTCGATGTGGAGAAATAAGGAGTGGAAATGGACACACTGGCTGTAGCCAGAGCCAAAACGAGTTACTGGATTTGCAGAGCAAGTCTCCATTAACAAGGCCCAGAGATGTTGCGAGCCTGTTAAGATACAATGCTTTACTGCTTCCCATGGATTTGAAAACCCATTTTTTAATGAAACAGGGGGAAAAAAGCTAGTTCCAGAATTCCTCTATAGTCACTCCACAAGACACGAGGACACACTAAAGCCAAATGGACACATTACAGAGAGCCCTGAGCTTTATTGCTTTTTCGTTACTAATGGTTTCACATTCTCCAGCCCCGAGCAGGAAGGAGGCCATGGTGTTTACAACAAAACAAAACACAAAAGTCCTCAGCAGGACAAGGGAGGCCAAGAAACCATCTCAGGCCTCTGCCGTGGCCGGCGTGAGGCCTGACACAAAGCCGAGGCCACTGAGCAGGGGACAAAGGGAGAGTGGCAGCCCAGGCGGCAGGAGGGTGATGCCCCGCAGCTCACACAGGTCTCCAGGCAGAGCGAGTGCGACTTATCCACAGGGAGGGCACAGGCCTGGAGCCACGAAGGCCAGGGGGAGGCGATGGGGGTGGGGGGGGGAGGGAGGAGGGGGGGGCGTGGGTTCATATTTGGGGAAAGTGAGCAAAAAGAGGCAGGTGAAGGTCCCAGGCTGAATGGCTGGTCCCAGGAAAGACTTGGTGAACGAGTGTAATTAAACTGTCTATTCTGCTGCGTCTTCTCCCTCGTAAGTAACCTCTCTGAGTGTCTGAGGACACGTCCCTTTCCCTAGGCTGTTTGGCTGAGACCTAAAAGCTTCTGCCTCCAAAGAATCCTGGGCAACTTGCTACCCAAGACATGCGGGCAGAGGCAGAGGTGCCCACAACACCCCTGAAGCCACTTCCCATGCGCCTCTACCCTGGTCTTGAACATTCTGGGCACACACGCACTAGATTAAACGAGAGCAGCAGCTGTCCAGGCAGCGGTCGCCAACTGGTGGCCCGTGAGGTCCGAAAGGCTGGCGACCGCTGGTCTAGAGCGCCACCCCCCAAGGAGAATGCGACTTGAGTCACATCTTTAAGCCAGACTAACAGTTCCTAGAAGCCACATTAAAAGAAAATGGGAATTAATTTTAATATCCCTTATTTAGCTCAAAATATCTGAAACATTATTATTTCTATATGTAAAATCAACACAAAATTATAAATGAGTTTTTAAATCCTTTTGTCCATCTAGGTCTCAACACCTGGCATGTTTTTCCACTTAAGCACATCTCGGTTCAGACTGACATTTCAAATGCTCACCAGCCGCCGTGGCTAGTGGCTGCCATTCTGGACAGCACAGGAACAGGTGTAGCAGCAAAAGTCTAGTTTCCACTAACAGCGCTGTGCCCTTCGGGGAGTCACTGAACTCCGCTTCCACAGATGAAAAGCGACCAAAGTTGTCTTGGAGTGTAACAGGGGACAGTGCATCTAAGCACCCACTACGCAGCTGAGCACATAGGGACCAGACTTAGAGTTAGCAAAAATAATGGCAAACATTTGCACTTAATATTTGTCAGGCCCTGTGCTAAGCATTATTAACTTACTTAACTTCCATATTAACTTACCTAACTCTCACAGCACACGACGAAGTAGTACTGTTAGTTAACCCCATTTCTACAGAAAAGCAAGGGAAGGCACAAAGGGGTTGAGGCCAAACCTTCAGTAAGAGGCGGAGCCTAACCATTAGACCATCTGACTCAAGAGTGCACCCCTAACTGTGACATATATTGCCTGTCTCTCCACTGTGAGCAAATGGGGCCATTCTGACATCTAAATGAAGACTGAAATTTAAAATAAAAGCAAATTAATGGTTTGGTAAATCTAAGTTGTCTACTTGATATCCATTCTCCCTTTCATCCTTACTACAGACTCTGTATATCCCCCGATTCTTAAACAGATAAGAGTGGTCAAAGAGATGTTAGCAGGATTCATTGGGTGAGATTCTGGGAAGGTTCTTTGCCCCTTTGTTCCTTGCCCTTTGGTTTCATTCTGCCTGGAACTCAGACTTGATGGCTGGAGCTGCAGCAGCTATTTTGTGACTTTGAGGATGAAGACCATTTGCATGTGATAGTGGAGTAGAAAAAAATTAGGAGCCTGGGTCTCTGATGATTTGGGGGAGCTTCCACAACAGCTCCATGACCTGTTTCAATGTGGACTAGAATTTTTGTGTCAGAAAAAATGATGCAGTTTGCTTACACTACTATAATTGGGTCTGACCTGGACAACATTTCTAATTAATATATAATTGAGGTCATAGCTATTGCCCAAATTTAGCCTTCGAGTCTTGGTGCCAGATACACACTTTATAAATTCCACAAAGTAAGGAAAAAGTTCCTATGATGATTCATGAAGTTTAATAATAAGAAATTGCCTGGATATATATATTTTTTTCTCCTTTTGACACTGTTTGCAGTCTGTGCTCTCTCTATTCTATAGATGCTACTTCCATAGAAGAACAAACAATAAACTTCAGAGAAAAATGCCAGAGTGCTACCATCCAGCACTGCACGCAAATGTCCTAACATGGTCCCTTTAAAAAAGTAAGCTTCTAATTGAACACTGGTCTACAAAGGAAACACGTCTACCTATATGACCATGGACAGGTATTCAGAGGAGAGGAAGAGCCGCAGAGGGGCAGGGGGCAGCCTCAGGTGACAGAGGCTGGGAATCGTGGCTGTTTGGCAAATATGTGCCAAGACAGTCTATTTTTCCAGGCAAAGCTGACAAACAATAATTACATATTGGAATAGCCCTTACATCATAACAAATCATTAAGTGGCTAGTAGAACCCCAGCCAAAATATAGTCAGCCTTTCCTAAAAGTGTCCAGATCCATTTAAATGATATTTTACCTAAATAATCGCCAAGTCGCTTCAAAAAAAAAAAAAAAAAAAAAAAAGAGGTTGGAAAAGGGACTTGGGGATCAATTTTGTGCCAAGGAGGCCTAAAACGGAAGTTTCAAACCTGAGACTCACAACCAGGGTTTAAATAAAAATGTTAATGGACTTAACAAGAGAATGGGGAAAATAAAGAGACAGACACGTTCATCACAAGAACATTTGTCAGCAGCTCTGGAGAGCTCCCTGCAGAGGGAGCAGGGCGGGAAGAAGAGAAAGGAAAAAAATGAACCCCTCCGCCCAGGGAGGCTGAATTTGCTAGAGGAAAGTGTATGGTTTTACTGCCAATTCTATAAAAACAAAATGAGGAACACACAGAATTTCTATGCCAACATCCCTGGCATTTGTAAAATGCATAAATACTCTCCAGGCAAATAAACACACACATCCCCAGTTCTTTAGTAAAAGTTACTAGACTCGGACACTTTTCCCCACTTTCCTAAAACACAACTAGAAAGGTCCCCATCATTTTCTCTGCAGAGTTGCTGCCCAGAACGTGTTCTGAATCGGCCCTTGGAATGCCCTGAAGTCCCTCATTCTTGCTGAACTCGAGCATACATTGAAAAAGCCTTCTGAAAGATCTCCCACATTTCCCATCCCTCAGGCATAAGATGACCCTGCAGCCCCTTATCATCTGCGTCTGCTACAAAAACAGAAGATTGGAAAAGGACACAACACATCCTCCCACGTTCTGTGTTCCAGGATTGAGTGGGATACCATGTCACTACATGGCACTTGGCAGCCTGTTCATGACAACTTATTAAATATAATTCACTGAGTCATATTATTGAGAATCCTTCTTTGTTAGAGTTTCTTAAAGCAATAGCATGTGTCAGAAATGGACATATTGGATGAGTACATCAGATTGACTAAGAACCACAACACAATGCTAGTGATTTTTCTGAGATTAAACAGGTTCAATGTAAGTAAAGTAGTTGACTGGCTCTAAGTCAAGCCCACTCACCAAGTCATCAATAGGGTGTCATGTCTACTGGCATCTCCCACCAACTGGTGGCAGCTGTCGGGGCCACTGTGTTTAGGACTCTGAGGCCTCTTCATTTCCTAACGATGAGTGAATTCCTAAAGGCTGCCATGATAACCCAAGAACCTATTCCCCACTTAAAGCTATGACCCTCTGGCCATCAACACGTTGAATTAAATGTCCCACGAAAAGTGCAAGATTCGCTTTGACCAAGGAGATATATTTCTTTTTAAGCTAATGAAAGGTACAAAGGTGGCTGTACCTATGTCTGCATGTAGCTTTGGTGAGGTTGTCATTGGGGAAAGGTGTATACTTAATTGCTGAAGTCCAAGCCATTAAGAAGTGATAAGTTGAACTGATGTAGTCACCAAGACAAGTAAAAAATCACCTTCATTGTAATTTTGTATTGAATTTGATGTTTTTCAAATAATGTTCATGTCTTCCAGCTCATGTAACTGCCTGAGTGATGAGCGAAGAAACCACTAGTCCTCCTGTTTCACCAATAGAAACTGAAACTCAGTTACGGCCCCTTCAGACCAAACAGAGGTGGGAGTTCCGGAGGGCAGGGCTCAGGTGTCGGGGACTCTGCCCTGAATGAACTGTGAGATCTTGGGCAAGCCGCTTCTCTTTCGGTTCCCTATCTATAAAATTGGGGAAAAGAGAATTCCGTTCCGTCATCTCTTTAGGACCCCTTCCATGGAAACTGGTGCTATTGATTCCATAAGGAAAAGTGGAGGGGAAAAATGTGAGATGAGAATAAAATATTAAAAGCGAGCAAAGTAGACAATGGGAAGAAGAGAGAAGACAGGAAAAATATAGGACTCAGAATATAACCCAGGAGTTGCATCATTGCTGAGTGAAATCCATTTTCCATATGGATTAAAAAAAATCAGGGTTTATATGGGTTAGAAAACACTTTCTAACCAAATTTTTGGGTGATGATGATATCACTAATATAGTTACTTTTTTTTTCTGAGATGGATACCAGGTGAAGCAGGTTGCATTAATCATGCTCCTAGATGCATGGGACATTGTTATCATCAGGCCATGCAAATAGCATATTTTGTGTGGTTACTAACAAGTGGGAACCAACTGAGAATTTGGACTTGGATATATCCCAGGTAACATCATCACTTCTTAAAGGGACAAAGGTTGGGGAAAGCCTGGCATCCCAGTAGTGAACACAGTAAGTTTACTGTATTTCTCTGTTTATTTGGTTTTAAGATGTTTCAGCATATATGAATAGAATTCCATTGCCACCTCCAAAAGAGATAGAAAGAAGAAAAAGAAAGATTACCTCACATTAAATGTACCTATACATTAAAAAGCACACTGGGGTTTCAGAAATATCAAAATGAGAAAAAGTATGTCTTAAAATGGAGGCAATAGTTATAGTCACGTGCATTGGACCAATATTAGGCAACAATTTTAAGTTTTCACCATTTCAATAGTAAAACTGAACCTCTTGCCTTAAAAAAGTATTCTTCATGCTAAAACACGCTGCACTAACAGCCAACAGCGGCGACTGGCCCTGCAGCCGAAACCTTGCCCATTTCTGCCCCAAGACAGAAGGCAGGGTTGGGGCATTACTTGCCTTTCCAGGCTCGCACTCGGTGCCATCGGCCCAGGGCGTGTGCTGAGTCTGGCAGCCTTTGCTGTTTATATCCGCTCCATCCGCGTTACTGCACCAGAGTCGTCGGCACTGCACCTGCTTATTTCAGTGACATGACAATCAGAGACAACATGATTAGATGACAGCAAACAAGGCCAGCATTATTTCCAGTTAATGTTTGGCCAATGATACAGTATCCGTTAAAAAGGGGTTTGATTTCTTGGTATGATAAGTGATCAAATATTCCGAGGGACACAGAGGCCAGCTCCTGAGACACATGTCTATGGCTGGCAGGACGTGAGATGGTGTGAAAGGGGGGCTTCCGTGCATCCAGTGCGACTGGAGATCAGGTGTTGGGATTAGTTGCGATTTCAGTTTAGGTTTGGCCTGACCGCAAAACTAGTGCTTTCTTCTAGTAGGCTACATAATTCCACAGCCATCGGATGACTCCTTTCTAGGGTGTCAGGAATTATGAGAGGGAAAAAGGGACAACTATTGTGAACATTTCAGACTTACAAAAAGTGCAAACAGCCACATAATGGATAGCCATGGACCCACCACCCAACTAAAGAAAAACTCACAGGCCCAGCTGAAGGCCTGGTACATCCCTCCTCAGTCCCAATCCCTTCCCCTTCTCCCAGAGATGACCACTATCCTGAGTGGTGGCCATCATTTCTTCACTCCCGTTGCTGTGACCACAAATGTATACTATACATTTCAACTTGAAACAAACAATAGCATTCAGCATTTCAGGATATGCTCATAGGCCTTGCAACTTGCTTTCCCCCTCTACATACACACAGTATGTTTTAGATTTACACAAGTTGATATATTTAGCTCTATTTCGGGGCATACATTTTAAAGAACTTTTCCCTGATTATTCCACTAAACCATGCTCATAATAGAGACATTTAGAAAGTACTAAAATTTTATTTTATTTTACATTAATCCTCACCCGAAAATGGTTTTCATTGATTTTTTAGAGAGAGTAGAAGGGAGGGAGACATGGGTGGGGTGGCTAGGGGGGGGGGAGAGAGAGAGAGAGAGAGAGAGAGAGAGAGAGACATCAATGTGAGAGAGACACATTGGTTGCCTCCCACACACATCCCAACTGGGGCTGGGGATTGAACCTGTAACCCAGGTACATGTCCTCGACCAAGATTGAACCCAAGACTAGTGCATGGGACGATGCTCTAACCACTTAGCAACACCACCCAGGGCTAATAATTTATTTATTAAAAAAATAGAAAAGCCTCAAACTACTCGGTCTTTCCTGTAGTTTCTTGGCTTTTACAGTTGAAAACATGCTCTACAAAGTAATTATTTATCCTGTTATTTTAACTTAAAAGATATTAGGATCATGTTTCCAAGTGTAGTTAATTTTTAAATGTTGTATAGTATTGCACTAACTAGAGACACCATAAATGGCTCAACATTTCTATTACTGGGCATTTGGATTATTCCTAAAGTTTACTATCATGAATAACACAGAAATTAATATAATCATGGATAGATTTTACTCAAGATATTTTATTATGTATTTCTATGGAATCACTGTACTTCCCAATTCACCATGCTATTTCTGAAATTTCTCCCAGCAAAACGAACAAACACATATACCCAGTGAGATAGAATGGGGCACCCCAAAGAAGCACAGTTCAGCTCCTCTGAAATCTGAGAGCCACTGGATCATATCATTGGTCCACATGTTCACAACACATACATCAAAATGCCACACACCCACCAGCTGAGCTACCACCAGAAATGATTTCACAAGAATAACTTTGATGAGCTAAAACAGGGAAACAGGTTTGTCTCATGCGTTACTTTTACTGAATCTAGAAGAATTCCTTTAATAAAGGTCAACTAGACAGGTCAATGGGCACGAGAAGAGACGAGGAGAGAGAAGGGCCGAGCTCGGCCATCACCAGCTCTGCACCCTGTCCTCTGTGAGCATCTCCTGTTGGACTGTCCCGAGAGGGAAATGGGAAAGTGCGGAGAAAGCACCATCTACCAGTGAACACTGTGACTAATCACCTTCGTCATTTCTACTTCCATTAAGAGTCAATGGACCATTCTCAACTTTTCCATGGGTGGTTTATATTAGGGTGAAAATCTAATGGAAAACTACGAATAAAAAGAAGTCCAGAATCAACCCCCAAACACTTACCATATATGGGCACACCTGATAACCTTGTCCAAAAATCAATTCACATTGTTTATTCACATTGTAAAGGAGGCCTGGCTGTTGGGAAGGCAAACTGTAGGCTCTGTATCCAGGTTCGTTAAGCAAACACTCGCCGTAACCAGTGCTATGGAAAGCAAAAATACAGATGGTGAGTGTGGTGGGTGACTCATGGCTTGTCAACACCTCCAGTTGAAAGGGAAGGCCATCTGCCATTGTAATGGTAGGGCGGACAGTTCCTTTTTTTTTAATTTTAAAAATATGTTTTTATTGATGTCAGAGAGGAAGGGAGAGGGAGAGAGAGATAGAAATATCAATGACGAGAGAGAATCATTGACCAGCTACCTCCTGCACGCCCCACACTGAGGATTGAGCCTGCAACCCGGGCAAGTGACCTTGACTGGAATCCAACCTGCGACCCTTCAGTCCATAGGTTGCTGCTCTATCCACTGAGCCAAACCGGCTAGCGCAGGGCAGTTCCTTTCTTATATCTGTTTTATTCTTTTCACCCAGGGCTAAATCTAGAAGCTGAAGTTGTATATTTTGGTGTATACTTGTTTGTACTCTGATTGGCTATGTATACAGCCCAGCTAGTAGGAAAGATGTATCTGTTATAGCATTCATCACATTTCAGGGCAATTATCTTTTTGTTTTTAATTTTGTTACAATCTTTTCCAAAAGACTGTAAGTTCTTAGCAGCAAAGATGGTGTCTTTTTCATCTTCCATAACAACTGATGTTTAGTAAATGTTCGTTGAATAGATGAGTGAGTAAATTAACAACTTTCTTGAGAAACACCTTAGGCCACCTGATTAAGAGTGTAGAAAACCAGCAGCCCTCCAGGCCTTTTGACTTTTCGACAAACACTTCTGGAAAATTCACACCCAGTGAGTTCTGACTAATAAAGCCCTCTCTTTCCTGTGGTTGCAGAAATATACACCCAATGACCTCTGGACAATCACTTAACCTTTCGTACTTCTGGGAGAGAAAAGCAATAAGTCCGTGACACAGGGATATTGTACAATGTAATTGGATCTTTGAGCACCCTGGCAGGAAGCTTAAAAAACAAAACAAGAAAAGAGAGGAGAGAAAGGAGAGAGAGGAGAGAGAGATCGGTCTTCCATTCAACAACAGGAAGTTGTGCTGCAATTTTCATCCACCAGATAACTTCTTTGGGATTGCCTCACTATCCTACCCCTCTCCAAGCCAAAATGATGAAGTTAAAGCCCATAAATATTTGTGGACTTCCTTCATCATATAATCACATTCATGGTCCCTCCCCCAGGATCGGAACAGATTTCCTAACTTTACCAGGAATAAAGCAACATTTACACATTCTCTGTAAGGTTCAATTTTCGTTTTTGCTTAGTCTGTAATCTTCTGAACTCGGGCAAAGACATGAACTGCACAGATGGCAGAGAGTATTTTTTTTCCTCCTCCAAGGAATGTCAACAAAAAAACAACTTAAAAAAAAAAATGCTTAGCTCTACATTCCCCCCCCCCCCCTACAATTAGATTACTACACGGCCAGATACCAGAAGTCTGTGCTACAAGAAAGTTCAAGTCTTACTCTAAAAATTCAGTGATGTATTTTCGACTACACTTTGACCACTTCCAGGGCATGGAGTAATAGTTCAATGTTGGAGCCATGACATTCTGGGGATTCTTGACTCCATCTTCTTGGCACTTATTGCTGTCGTCATGAGGCATATTAAACCTAAGGCCAACAAGACAAGGATGAGAATGTCAATAAATACCCAGAGATTGAGCTGTTATCATTGATTTCAAGAATGCACCTGTCCAGAAACATTTTTATTAACTGATGGGAAGCATTTGTCATTCCAGAAACATCAGTTGTATGATCAACATACCATTCTCAGCTTGATAACTACCCATTGGCCAACAAGCTCAGAGGGCTGTCCTGTCTGCATGACTTTCCCCAATCACAAGTTTAATGCATATGAATAATTTAGCAATGTAGGGAGGAATTTACTTCACTAGCTCATCTTGAAAATGGAAATCAGAGAATTAGAAGTGTGTAGACTTGCTTCATATAAAAGTAAAAGCTGGGATAAAAGTCTGTGAGGTCCAGTCCATTGATTTTTCATGTGTTTGGTTTTCTTTTTCTTTCAAAAATTTGGGTCCCATGCCTGGCCGGCATGGCTCAATGATTGAGTGTAGACCTATGAACCAGGGGGTCATGGTTCGATTCCCGGTCAGGGCACATGCCTGGGTTGTGGGCTCGATCCCCAGTGTGGGGCGTGCAGGAGGCAGCCGATCAATGGTTCTCTCTCATTATTGATGTTTCTAACTCTCTTTCCCTCTCGCTTCTTCTCTGATATCAATAAATATATATTAAAAAACATTTGGGTCCACAATAATTACCAGATGGAGTAACTGCCTAATGGAAATTGTAGGATGGAAAAACTCGAACTGTCTTGTTTGAACTTAAAAGGAGTTCTTAATGCTTACAAGTCCATTTTCTTAAAAGAAAGACTGCCCAGGTTTCTAGTGCAGCTGCACAGTCAGTAATACTACCTGTACCACCAAAGCCAACCCAAGCCAAGCATCCAAATCGACTTTAGCTGTTGAGTTCTCTGTCGTGTAAAGGAGCTGGTGTTTACTCCCCACCCCTCACCAGAGCTTGACTAAATCCACTCTATTTCATCACGTAATCAGAAAACTTCTTTTCATTCAAATATCAGGCACATTTGCTCAAAGCAGGGGCTAGGTAATAATACATATTCATTAAGCACTTACTAACCAATAATAACCAAAACTTTTATTTGCATTCACAACACACAGGACAGTGTGTTAAATGTGTCAGATGCTTTTTTTCACTTAATTACCTATTTGACCCAATGAATAATACAACTACTATCCATGTTTTACAGGTAAGGAAACTTAGTTGTAGAGGTTTAATTACTTGATTGAGGTCGTAAGGCTACTAAGATGGGGGAACTGGGATTGCAATCTGCTTTAGTCTGGTTCTAAAGCCTCTTGTTTGGGAGTATATGTATATAAACGATAGTCCCTCTTGTTAGATGAGTTGTGATTATTTGTCAGGAATATTGTGGAAAGATTTCTATATCCAGAAGACACTGAATTACCTCCCCGTCTTCCTCTTCCACTCTGTGTCTATGGACATTCTGGTGCAAGAGGGGAGGGGCTGTTTGTGAGGCATCCAATGACACTCAACAGATACAAGAGCAATTGCTCCCCCCCCCCCCCCCCGCACCAATGGCTGTTGGGATTTTTATCATCAGAAAGTCCGGACTGAAACACCTTAACATGTAATTGTTAAAAGGTTCAGTAGAAAATTTGTGATTTTCACTTTACTTCACTGCGAGTAAACCTAACTTCATGAGACAAAGCACCAAAATACAAAGAATTCATTAAAGGGTTAGGAATATACTTTTTGTTTAATAACTCATATCATCCACCAGATTTCATATTTCACTTTCTGATACTTTTGAGATGGCGTATATATGTATTGTGCCCACTTCACAGGTAGGGAAACAGCATACAATTTCAAGTCAAGCAGAATGTGGAACCATTCAGTCCAGAACTTGGTCTCTGGCTCCCAGACGACCTCTGCCTGAAAGCAGGTACCCAGCGTAGTACCGCCAGGTCAGGCTCAGAGGAACAACCACCCCTACCTGTGCAACTGGTGAGGACTAAAGGGCATCATGGAAGTGAAAGCCCCTTAACTATGCCGCCGACTTGGGTTTTTGTGCAGGGAAGATATTCGTTAACTACGCATTGAATTTTTCTCAACAGCTGAAAATAATTTAGTTTTTGCTACTCAAAATTCTCACTTTCCTCAAAATGTCAATGTTATACACAGTCTAAAATAAGTTCATAAGCTCTTGTTGGAAGGAAATTAATAATATTTCTTCAAATGGTACACTTTTCTTAGCCATATGTTGGGGAGAAATGTTAGTCTGCTAATGGAAATTTTCCACCCTTTGAATGCCTTCCTATTTGTAATTTTTCCTATTCCATTTCCTAGGAAAGGAACAGCAGTCCTGTTGAAATGCCACCTATTCTTCACGGTTAAATCTACCCTCCTACCTACACTTCCAAAGAAATGTATTACATTTTATGTAAAATAAACAAATATTCCTAAAAGATTCTGTTAAAATAGGTTTGGGAAAACCAAGTTAAACAAAATCAACAGTTTACTATGGAACTTGTCAGAGCCTTTATTTTATACCATTTAGCCTTGTGACTCCAACCAGGAACAGACTAGACAAACATTTTTTAAACTCACATAACTACTAAACTGATAAGAACAGATACTACACTTGATCTTAGCTACAAGGCTGAGAAGCGACCTGGAGAGTATGTGAAATACGCCAATCAGAGAAAGACGAATGCCATATGATCTCACTTAAACGTGGAATCTAATGAACAAAATAAACAAAATAGAAACAGACTCATGGATACAGAGAACAAACCGACCGACAGCTGTCAGAAGGAGTGAGGGGGTGGGAGACGGGTGAAAAAGGTAAAGGGATTAAGCAAAAAACAACCACCACAACTCTGAGACAAAGACAATAGTATGGTGATTACCAGAGGGAAAGAAGGGTGTGGGGGAGGTAGAAGAGGGTACAGGGGAGATAAAGGGTGATGGAAGAAGACTTGACTGGGTGGTGAACACACAGTACAATACACAAGTGATGTATTATGGAATTGTACACTTAAAACCTAAATGTCACCCCCAAAAATTCAGTAAAAAAAGAAAATTTTTAAATCACTTTTACAAAACTCATTTTTCTCCCTGTAATAGCATGGATGGACCTAGAGCAGTGGTTCTCAACCTTCCTAATGCCGCGACCCTTTAATACAGTTCCTCATGTTGTAGTGACCCCCAATTTCATTGTTACAAATTGAACATAATTAAAGCATAGTGATTAATCACAAAAACAATATGTAATTATATATGTGTTTTCTGATCGTCTTAGGCAACCCCTGTGAAAGGGTCATTTGACCCCAAAAGGGGTTGTGACCCACAGGTTGAGAACCGCTGACCTAGAGGGTATTATGCTAAGTGAAATAAGTGCGACAGAGAAAGACTTCGCTTATATGTGGAATCTAATGAACAAATAAACACACAAACAAAATAGAGACAGGTACAGAGAACAGACTGACAACTGTTAGAGGGGAAGGGGTGGGGCTGGGTGAAAAGGTGAAGGGATTAAGAAGTACCGATTGGTAGTTACAGAACAGTCACAGGGATGTAAAGGTCGGCACAGGGAACAGAGTCACTAATATCATGATAACTAGTATGTGATAACTAGTACATGATAACTAGTCTGGGGCCAGGTGGGCACTTGAAGTGGCAGGGAGACCACTCTGGAAAGTACACGCTTTTCTGACCACTTTGCTGTACACCTGAAGCTAACATAGCATAACCCTGAATGTCAACCGTAATTGAAAAATAAAGAATATCAGACTACAAAACTCCTTTTGTTTTCACTGACCATTCTTTTGGAAATGGTGTTCAAATTCCTGTGCTTTGGGAAACACTGGGGGGATCAGTAGTTTTCAAACTGAGTTCCAATAAATCCTTGAGTTTCATGACAGCATTTGAGAAACCAAAAGGACAGAGAGCAAGCTGACGAATGGGACTCTGGCCACCACAGCTGTGCACTATCAATATTGGGTATCTGATCACATTTCCTTTAGAGAAAAGAAAAGGGGTATGCTATTAAAATATGCTTGAAAGGTGCTAGTTTTGAAATATACCCATTCTATGTTGAACTGAAGTGGAGAGATACCTATCTATCTGCCTTGCTTTAGCCTAGCACCGCACACTGCACAGAGGTGCCTTCGGAAGCCTGGTGGATGATCGAGCTTGCTTAACAGATGATTTCAGTTATGAAGTTAACATCTGACATGAAAATTGATATGCAACTCCATTAGTGACATCTGAGAAAATGATTTCAAAAAGATGTAATTTAATTATCACTTATGAAAGAAAACGACGCAGCTCAAATAGCAGAATAGTTTCTAGCAAATTTACACTATTTTGCCACATGTTCTAACCATGCTCTGCCTCTAAAAGAACAAAAGGAAAAGCCAGTTTCACAATGACCACTTAGTGACCAAAATTCATGTTTTCCTTGCTCTCTCTTTGTTCATTCTCTCCCATGACAGAGGGGTATCCCTGTCTGAATTATAGGCATATAACCAGAAGCAGGGAGGATCTGGATTTGTGAAAATCTCATGAGCTGGGCAATGATGGACCTTCCTCGACAAAGATGTCAAGCCCTCCTCCTCCGATTCCCAGTAGGAAGGGAGAATATTAGACTTTTCATAGAAAATGTGTGCAATTAAACCAAAGATCCGCAGGGGCTGCGGCCAAAGAGGGTGCACGGCATTCACTCAGCTTTCCGGAATCAAAGTCACTTCTCCCTTCAAGGGTCAAAGTGCGTCAATCCTGCAAATTCTACTGTGACTTGAGAAGTGTCTTGCCCTCGAAAGGCAAGGAAAGGCTCACTGTTGCAGAGGAAGAAAGTTTAGGTCACTCTGAACTCAAGGAAAATAGGGAAAGGAAACATACAGATGGCCCAGTTCATGGGCTATGGTAAAAGCCGTGCTCAATCCATTATCTTCGCTAATAGAACAGCTTCTGGAGGGGTCACAAAGGGTTCCCAGTTCAGCCAGACCTACGGGAAGGAGAGAACAAGGGTTTACTTGAACAGGCAGTTGTGGCTTAAGAGTGAAAACATGCAGGAAAGGGTTGGAGCGCAGAGGGCCGCACAGCCGACTCACCTAGGGTGTCACACTTGTCCTGAGCTCTGCAGATGTCCTGTCTGAAAGCAAAGCACACTTAGGGCCTTGATGACACCAGAGAGGAAACATCCGTACCAGCCACCACTTCAGAGCCTTCCAGGCCTCACAACACACCCGCAGTCGGGAGGGGGTTACAAAACCACTGATTTCAGGATAGAAAGCCACACGGAAAGGCTCCTGCGGCCTCAGGGGTGGCCTGGGACTGCAGAAACCTTTCCGACCAGGGTTTTTCCTCATACACCGAGGAAGTGATTCTCGTTTGTGCCAAAGACTCCTGACAACAGGCCTCTCCTCTGTGCTTATGAGTGCGTGCCTGGGAGCAAATCCGAGGCCCGTGGTGGCCAGCAAGGCAAGCCAGCGGGCCTCTTTGCTGCCCCATACAGTTTTTGAGAATATTTTCTAGGTAGCAGCTACGATTTAAACATTGGGAGAGTTCACTTTATGGACAAATGCATATCTCTGACTCCTTGCAAAATCACAGAAGTTGGCAGCACTGGACTGTACCCCGCCTGGTAACAACGGGGTCCATCTGAAGAGCCGCTGGCCCCCTAGAAGGCCACTTCCTTTCAGGCCTGCCCAATGCAGCACCTTCGGGTAAGTGGTTCCCAACAGGGGTGATTATGTGCTCCCATCCCCCACCCCGGCCCACCCCCGCCCTCACAGGGCATTTGGCATCCCCTGTGGGCTGAGGATACTGTGGGTGGTCACAACTGAGAGGAGGGCATGCTACTGGTCAGTAGTGGGCAGAGACCCGGATGCTACTAGGCATGCTGACATGCACAGGACGCCTCACAACAGAGTTATCTGCTCCCAACTGCCACAGTGCTGAGGCGGAACAGCCTGGTGCCCGGAGCTGGCTGCCAGGAGCCTACACCTCCCATCACCTTGCCTGGAAACTGCGAGATGAGAAGCCTCAGGACTGCATACCTCGTGATCAGAATGGCAGTATCGTGCTTGATCCCACCTGTGTTGTTCTTCTGCCACTGGCAGAAGCTCCTTAATGTCGTCTGGGCATTAAAAGAGATGGGCGGTCCCTCCTAAGCACAGAAAAGAGTGATGGTTGGTCGTTGTACCGATTGCACATGCCGTTTCGGATACAGAGAGAAGAAAGAAGAAAAAAACTTGATTACCTGTTCATTATGAATCACAACTAAGTTCACAACAACAATATTAATTAAATTTCCAATAGTGGGGTCTTTATAGATAGAGGCTACCTGCAACCGAGATAAATTTTTCAAAGTTAATTGTGAACTCTGTGTAAGCAGCAAGCAATTCACTTCTTATGTGTGGCTCCACCTAATTGTACATTTCATGCAGCATATGCATTTTTCAGTTTTGAATTTTCATTCATTCATCAAACACTCATTAAAACTATCTTCGTAAAATTATTCATAGATGGACGTTTTAAATAATAATAAATTCTAACACATTTAAGTTTTAAGGTACTTTCTTTAAAAATTGCTTAGCCATGCATCTTAATCGTTCTCTATGCCAAAATACTGGATATTAACTTTGATCGAGCTCCTTCTTCCCAGTTGAAGTCCCGATTGCCAAATTATGGATCTCACATTGACCACGTCTTTGCCGATACTGCTGCTCTGCATGCTTACCACGCATCTGTATTCTCCACAACCCGGCACCTAGTTTTTTCACCCATATCGTTTAATTATGAGAGTTAACATTCTCTGGATGCTTCTCGTGGACTAGACATTGCTGAAAACTGCATATGCATTTAGTCTCTGTAATACCTGTGCTAGGCATCATTCTAACTTCTACCCAACAAATGAAGAAACGAAGGCTCAGAGAAATGAAGTAACTCATCCAAGTCTATATACAGTGGCGAGTAGCAGAGCCAGAACTCTCAACCTCTGTCAACTTGACCCAAGCCCATGCTCACAATTGGAATTCTTAGGACAGGTCTGAATTTATGGGTTGGAAATGGAGTTGAGTCTGTGTAAGGTCTGATTAGATTTTTCTTTCTCTGCTCCAGGACAGGAGAAGGCTGGGACACGTAGGACTGAGCATGGCAGAGGTGGGTCACGGGAGGGTGGAGGGGAGGCAGGCTCCAGTGTGGGGTGGAGAGCACCGGGGACTGGTTCACAGCAGTGAGGGAAAGACAAGGAGAGCCATAGGCCAAGGAGCGGGAAGAAGAAACTCTAAAGCAATGTTCCCAAACATGGTTGCTTTCCACATTCATTTGAGGAATATATAAAAAGTAGATTCCTGTTCAAATAAATTAAGGTCAGTGAAGGGGGGCAAGATCATAGGGACTGATACAGAAAAACATCTCCAGCCCTAACCGCTTTGGCTCAGTGGATAGAGCATCGGCCTGCGGACTCAAGGGTCCTGGGTTCGATTCTGGTCAAGGGCATGTACCTTGGTTGCGGGCACATCCCCAGTGGGGAGTGTGCAGGAGGCAGCTGATCGATGTTTCTCTCTCATCAATGTTTCTAACTCTCTATCCCTCTCCCTTCCTCTCTGTAAAAAAATCAATAATATATATATATATATATATATAAATATATATATATAGAAAACCACCTCCAATATTTCAAGAAAAAAGCAATGTGTAAAACAGTTCAGGACAATTCTGCATTTCTGTTTGAGAACCAGTTGTAAATGCATACATATATGCTTAAGAAGTGTTGAGTGCCATCCGATACGGTAGCCACCTGCCACGCATAGTCACTGAGTACTAGAAACGTGGCTGGTCCCAACTGAGATGTGCAGTGAGGATAAAAACATCCTGGATTTTGAAGGCTTAGTATGAAAAGTATTAAACTATCTCATTAATAATGTTTGAAGTAATATTTGGGTATAAAATAAAAATGCATTATTAAAATCAATTTACCTACTTGTTTTATTTCATGAGGCTACTAGAAAATATAAGATTATATATGTGGCTTACATTGTATCTCTATTGGGCAGAGCCGTTTAGAAACATATCCAAAAAAGCTTACTAATGGTTGCCTCTGGGAAGGATTGGAAGCATGAGTAGGGAACAAGTTATTTATTTTTTTAAAGGAAACAATGACTTCCTTATTTTGTCAATCCTCACCCAAGGATATTTTTCCATTGATTTTTAGGGAGAGTGGAAGAGAGAGAGAAAGACAGAGAGAAACATCGATGTGAGAGAAACACATTGATTGGTTGCCTCCTGCACAAGCCCGACCAGGGCCCAGGCTGCGGAGGAGCCTGCAACCAAGGTATGTGCCCGTGACTAGAATCGAACCCGGGATTCTTTGGTCCACAGGCCAACACTCTATCCACTGAGCCAAACCGGGTAGGGCAGAACAAGTTATTTTTCATCAATGAACTTTTATGTTAGATTTTTAAAAATTATGCAAATGTATTGCTCTTTCAATTCAAAATGGGCATAGAAAAATAGAGGGAGAGATTTCTAGGCCCCACCCGAGGGCTCATTAGAATCCTGGGGAAGAGCCTAGGTGACTGATTCACAGGCAGCAGCGGAAGCCGAGAGACTCACACCTGGCTGTGCGAGCTCGCATGTCAGACAGAGTGCTGGTCTCAGCAACGGGACCAGCTAGATGTCACATCAGTCTCCAAGCCTTCACACGACCATGAGCAAGTGACCCACCTCCTCTGAGGCTCCGTTTTCTTATTTATAAAATAGGGATGGTAATCCTACCTAGCAGAGTTGCCCGAAGGTTTAGAAATTATGCCTTTGAAGTAACAAGCACATTGTCAAATGATCACAGAACAAACACTCAATGATAGCCATGACTGTTACAAAACAGCAACCAATGGACAATCTATGTTCTTTCCAGTCACTTGCCTGAGTTGGTGAAATGCCAGCCCTGAACGATCCTCCAAAGCCCTGCATGGAAGCCCCCCTCACCCCATGGCACCTGTAGGGGCTCATAAATCAGGTTCTTTTATGTGTACTTACAATTGACATTAAAGTTAAAACATAGTGTTGAAGATTTGCTCCATGGAATGAAATCATTTTTCGGTCTGCCACCACCATCACTTCTACAAACCGTGGGTAGGACAAGAAACGCTTTGTTCTTCTGTGGGTCCTCTGTTCTCTCGTGCTGTCCGTCTTGTTCCCATAGGCAGAAAGCACCTTTGCTGCGAAGCCGCTCTTGAGCACTGCCACGTCGTCAGCCAGGCTGCTCCTTCCTGCCCGTTCCCTTGCTCTCGGTTTCCTCCTGTCCTTACTGGGACTATCCCTGTGTTCTGTAAGAAATCAGAGGCATGCATTACATGTCAAGCCACATCTACTTCATATTAAGAACTGAACTGGACAAATCTTGAAATAATGCCTCTCATGTCAAACTGCATACAAAATCAAGTTCAACACACTTCAGACTCTACCGGTGAACCTCAATCTGCACTCTCATCTAAATGACTAAGGATGTGAAATTAGGATCCCCTGAAGTTTCCAGAAATGCTCATTTAAGGTATTAGACAAGAAATCAGGCCTGCGTTTAACAATTGCAAATGATTCTTTTCATTTGGTAACAAAAGTCTTGCTGGCATTTAAGCAGTTTCTATTCATTGTTCTTTGGCATATAGTAAGGGCCAATGGCAGCCAGAGAGCTCTAGAGAATGGAAATGGAGATATTTCATATACACCCCCTCAGCTATTCACTAAGATACAGTATAAAGAGGTCTGAGAGGTGGGCAGCCTAACAGACAACACAGAGGAACTATAGACAATGCATGACAAGGTAGACATAGTATTATTCTATTACTGTATTTGATCATTATGATATGCAAAATTTAAGAAGAGAATCACTGCTATTCAATGCCTCTGAATTTCAGAGCTCAGTTAAGAAAGTTCATTAAACTCAGGGAGTGTGAACAGGTAGTTGGGACCATGATGCATAACAACAGGGAGCGCTAGTCAGTTCCAACTCATGCCCTGCCCACCAGGGTTCTACACACCTTACTGCTCACAGTGTGGTCCTTGGACCAGACGCACTGGCAACTCTTGGAAACTTGTTAGAAATGCAGACTCTCTGGCCCCACTCAGGACCTGATAAATCAGAATCTACAGTTTAACAAGATCTCCAGGTGATTCATATTCATGTTAATGTTTTGAGAAGCACTAGCCTCAGTCTCGGCTTGCAGCTTGTATTGCTGGTGAGAATATTCAATTTCAAAGCCATCAATCACACAATAAACAGAATACGCATAAAAGCGCCTGCCACAATATGCTTTGAATAATAACATGATGCAATCAGTTATCTTGCCTACCAGTTTATAAATGTGCTTGTGTGTGGGCCAGGGAGAAACTTCCTTTTGCCCTTCCAGGTTCTTCTGGCTGGTCTAGATATTACATTAACATGAAGCACTTTAACAAGAGAAAATAGCCAAATTCAGTTACATACATATGTATGGGAACCTCCTGTACATGAGATAGTCAGAGACCCCCCACATACATGAGGATCAGGGACAAAAAGATAAAAGGAGATGTACATGGCATTCTGAGCTAAGGAGGCGGTAAAGAGCCTTGGGCTTCAGAGGGGAGAAAAGTCAATCATTGGAACATAAGAGGAGCAGCTGTTGAGTAGTTAAGTGTTTGTCTGTCCTATGCATAGATCATAAAGTCATTTCTGGTGATAACTCTAATATGCGCAAGACCCTTAATATAGATTCTTTAGGGAGAGGAAAACGTTTCTTGCGAGTCTGTGGGGTCTTGACTGCCTTCAGCTCAAAATAATTCAAGTGCCAAAGGGGCACATCCTCGGGAGGCCTGTTCTGCACCCCTTCAAATGCCACTAGCTGTAGTCTAAAACAGTCCACAGAGTTGTACAACTAAGAAATATGCTTACCTAAGACAGGGATACAATTCTTTACACCACTAGACATATATAATGACAACAAAAAAGTTAAATTATTTAAGTGGCTTGACTTTTTAAGGGTGCAAATATTTCACCTTTATAACCTACTAGGGGCCCGGTGCACAAAAATTTGTGCACTCTGGGGGGGGGGGGTGTGGCGGGGAGGTCCCTCAGCCGGCCTGTGCCCTCTCGCAGTCTGGGACCCCTCAGGAGATAACAACCTGCTGGCAGAGGGCAGGCCCAATCCCTAGGTGCAGCCCCTGGTCGGGCTCAGAGCAGGGCCGATTGGGGAGTGGGGCGCCGCCCCCTGTCATGCACAGAGCAGGGCGGATCTGGAGGTTGCGATGCCACCCTCAGTCACGCTCAGGGTAGGGCCAATTGGGGGGTTGGGGCACCACCCCCTGTCACACTCAAGGCAGGGTCGATGGGGAGGTTGCAGTACCACCCCTTGTCACGCACAGAGCAGGGCCAATCAGGGGGTTGGGGCTCTGCCCCCTGTCACACACAGAGCAGGGCAGATCAGGGGGTTGGGGAGCTCCCCCCTGTCACGCACAGAGCAGGGCGGATCAGGGGGTTGGGGCGCCACCCTCTATCACCCACAGAGCAGGGCCAATCAGGGGGTTGGGGCGCCGCCACTGTCACACTCAGGGCAGGGCCGATGGGGAGGTTATGGCTCTACCCTGTCACACACAGAGCAGGGCCGATCAGGGAGTTGGGACACCGCACCCTGTCACACAGAGCCGTAGGGCGATCAGGGGGTTGGGGAGCTCACCCCTATCAGGCACAGAGCAGGGCTGATTAGGGGTTTGGGGCACCTTCCCCTGTCACGAACAGAGCAGGGCGGATAGGGAGGTTGTGGCCCCGCCCCCTGTCACACACAGAGCCGCAGGGCGATCAGGGGGTTTGGGCGCTGCCCTCTGTCACACTGATCCTGGTACTGGGAGGCCTCCCAGCTCCGCTGATCCCGGTGCTGGGAGGCATATTACCCTTTTACTATGTAGGATAGAGGCCTGGTGCATGGGTGGGGCTGGCTGGTTTGCCCTGAAGGGTGTCCTGGATCAGGGTGGGGGTCCCCACTGGGGTGCCTGGCCAGCCTGGGTGAGGGGATGATGGCTGTTTGCAGCTGGTCACACACCCTTCAGGGTGGGGGTCCCCACTGGGGTGCCTGGCCAGTCTGCGTGAGGGGCTAAGGGCTGTTTTTAGGCTGGCGGGTGACTGAAGCTCCCAACTGCTCCTTTTTTTCTTTTTTCTTTTTAATTCTGGGCCAGCTTTAGCTCTGGCTCCAGCTCTGAGGCCTCTGCTGCTGAAAGCAGGTATCTGGTTTGTTTGGAACACTGTATGAACTCCAGCTCTGAGATCCTGGCGGGCTGAAAGCAGGTTTCTGGGGTTTTGTTTAGCTTCTATATTTGTTACAATGTTTCAAACTGCAGGCTCAGAGGCTGGCAAGGCAGGTGGGGAACGTTGGTTTCCTCTGTCACTGAAGCAAGCAAGCCTCATGTTAGCTTCAAGCTGCCGGGCTGCCGGGTGTCATCTTGGCTGGCAGTTAATTTGCATATCTCACTGATTAGCCAATGGGAAGGGTAAAGGACGTATGCTAATTACCATGTTTCTCTTTAATTAGATAGGATTGCTAAAACAATCAATTTAGGCCAGGATGTGTCTTTTGCCCAAGTTGAGTATTTTAGCTGTTGCTAAAACAGTCCAAATTACCAAATAAGTTCTATGTGGTACAGCTACAGATCGCAGGACTAGCCCAAAGCCTGGTACACAGGATTCAACATTACATTCTTTTCTTCAATTCTCTTCTTTCAGGCATATTCATGGATGTGTACTCATGCCATATGGGTAATTAGGCTGTCATTCCATTTTTAAATCATCAAGTGATTACAGAATAGGTACTATAATGTGCCAGGTATTGAACTTGGATCTTTTGGGTATGTTATCTCACAATTCCTCTCAGACTAAGAAAATTAACCTCTATTTTATAGAGGAGGAAGATAAATCTCAAAGATATTGAGCAATTTTTCCAAAGTCACATAGCTGGAAGTGGTGGCATGAGGAGTCGGGCATGGATCTGTAAGCAGCCTAAGCAGTGCTCTATTAGGTCAGGTTTCTGAAAAGCTTGGGATTGAAACGGACTCAAGGTTTGATGGATAGTTTCCAAACAGAATCTGAATTAGAAGACAGCAGCTGGTCGATATTTTCACAAAGGTTAGGTTCTTATAACAGGTATATAAGAAGCCATGTTGAATCTGATATTTTTAAATGCATAAGAAAATATGTCGCCCTAGCCGGTTTGGCTCAGTGGATAGAGCATCAGCCTGCAGACTGAAGGGTCCCAGGTTCGATTCTGGCCAAGGGCACCTGGCCGGGTTGTGGGCTCGTTCCCCAGTAGGGGGCATGCAGGAGGCAGCCAATCAATGATTGTCTCTCATCATTCATGTTTCTATCTCTCCCTCTCCCTTCCTCTTTGAAATCAATAAAGAAATATATATTTTTTTTAAAAAAGAAAAGATGTCACTTATTTTGTAAGAAAATAATCCCTGTTTAATGTTTTCTGTAAATATTTTAATACAATTTATTATAATCAGTAAAGTTTCATATGTTTAAAGTCTCATTTTTCTATTCTCTATTTCATTAATTTCTGCTTTATTTTCTTCTTTCTGCTTGCTATAGGTTTAGTTTTCCCTTCATTTTCCAGTGTCTTCAAGTGAACTTACTGGCAACTGAAAATATTGCAACAGGTGTTAGACAGGTGGAGTCAGAGAGGACCTTGGTTCAGCAATCTTAGTTCTTGAGTTCTGCTAAGAAAGAATTCAGAGCCAAGACTCAAACTATAAGAGAAAGTTTATTTAGAAAGTCACAGAGGTAGAAGTGAGCCATAGAAGAAATGAGCTCAGGAAACAGGTTACAGAGGCAAAAGAAGGGCCCTTGGAGCTGAGGAGAAGAGAGACAAGGAAAATGTGCCTGGGAGGAGGAGGGGGGGGGGAAGGCAGATGCTGGTGTGCTCCACAGAGAGAGCCCAACTGGGTCCCCTGCCTTGAGGGTATTTATCTGGACGTCTCAAGGGAGGCTCCCAGTAGATTATTCATCAACTTTCCAGGTGTGTTCTTTCCAGGTCAAGGTCTCTACTCATTGGTAGGCACCTGGGCAGGGGGTCATTATTCCACACGGGTAGAGTGTCATTTATCTGGTGTTGCTGCTTTTCTAGGCCTGTAGCTGAAACACAACTGAGGCTAGATGTATTTGATGGGGGTCGTTCGACCTCTAAGGGGATCCAACTGCATGACTAGCAACATACCAGGGGAGGAAAGGTCAGGGAAGGGTCAGAACTGCATAACCAGCGATGGGAAAGGTCAGGTCTGAACCGCATGACCAGCGATAGGCTAG